GTGTATATCAGTGTGAAAGATGAGCTGATCACACACATGGACTCGTTTGAGGTGGAACCAAGCAACAAAACCACATAACTAGAAACAGCCAGAGCCGAAAAATCAGCTCCAGAGTAACTCGTGATGCAAGGCAAAATAATAGGATTGTTGAAGCTGGTACTCAATCCACACATCAAATACCACTACACACATGTCAAAAATAGAAGAATTTGGCGGACAAATGGTAATTCCAGTGCGTTCTTGCTTCAGCCATGTGTGCACGCTCTCATTGTATACTGTTGGCGACCTCGGACTCTGCTCTGATGCATTGAGGCTCCCGACGACTGAGCGGCGCACCTTGGTAATATAGTTTGTAACATTTTGGCAGGAGACAGACAGCTCTTGAACACACAGCATCGAAATAATATTCCGGAGACGCACCACCAATACGGTGCCCATTGGCGAAGCAGGACGAGTCCACAGACTTGAGAAACTGTACTTAACGTAACGTTACACATCAGTCCGCAATCCGAGGCCCGATTTGACTTCTTTCCACTCAGCTCATGTTCACCAGCCTTGACCATTCTGTGTATCTCAATTCTTAAAACACTCATTTCCAGACAGTGCACGATGCAGGTCTGCCACTTGCATCCAATGCATTGGGCAACAGCTAGCTAGTTGTTCTGGGCTATTAAGTCCCTGTATACGTTCCCCTGTGGTGCACGACGCTATTGTTTCTTCAGCTCCTGCCCTGTGTGCTTCAGAGCTCTGAAGTCGGTTCGGCGTATACATTCAGTACAACTCAGCATCCACAGGAACGTTCCCCTTCATTGGTGTTATCATCATCACTGCTGTCACCACGTTCGCCTGCATCCGAAAGATCCATCTCATTTGTTCCCTATGTCTTTTTGTACCGCGCTGAAGCCAGCAGCAAACAAAACGCTGATCGGCACGTCGTTTTCGGCGTAGTGGAAGACGCTCTCGACTACTACCTGACTCAGAAACGCTCTCAGAATCAGAGAAGCTCTCAGCACCTGACAGCAGGCTATCAGCTGATCGCCGTCACCTCCAAATTCGCCCGTCAATACGCCACCCGTCGCACAACTAGCTGCCATATCTTCCTTCAGCCATAACGGATTCACTTCAAATTTTGAGTGCTGGACCTTGAAGCCCTGTGCTGAGCGAGGCACAAGCGCTTGATGCAAATAGAGCCCTCTAACCCAGGTAAAAAATATGCCACAGTTTGCCAAACTTCAAACGCCTGTATCTCAAAATGATGTCATGCAGCTAACGTTCCATTTCTACCTTGTCCGCTCACACATAGAGAACAGCACATAGAGAACAGCACATAGAGTACAGCACATAGAGTACAGCACATAGAGAACAGCACATAGAGTACAGCACATAGAGAACAGCACATAGAGAACAGCACATAGAGAACAGCACATAGAGTACAGCACATAGAGAACAGCACATAGAGAACAGCACATAGAGTACAGCACATAGAGTACAGCACATAGAGAACAGCACATAGAGTACAGCACATAGAGAACAGCACATAGAGAACAGCACATAGAGAACAGCACATAGAGTACAGCACATAGAGAACAGCACATAGAGAACAGCACATAGAGTACAGCACATAGAGTACAGCACAATCATAGAGAACAGCACATAGAGTACAGCACATAGAGAACAGCACATAGAGTACAGCACATAGAGAACAGCACATAGAGTACAGCACATAGAGAACAGCACATAGAGAACAGCACATAGAGAACAGCACATAGAGAACAGCACATAGAGAACAGCACATAGAGTACAGCCATGGAGGCAGTACAACCTACTTCAGCACATAGAGAACAGCCATGGAGGCAGTAAATTTCAGAAGCCACTGTCTTGGCTCCATCGACTACAGTCCATTCATAAAAAGATGGGCCCTGGATCTGGCGAGCTCCCGTATTTGGCAATTTTTCTTGATTTCATCGTACACAGTGCAGTGCTGCGAAATTTGAATGTGAAAAAGGGTCCAAAATGAGTACCAGAACTGGGGTTCGAACCGCGCGATGCACTGTTCCAGGCGGGGTCAAACGGCCCGGATATTTATGGTTTTCCCAATTCAGTGCCTTTGGGGCAAAACCTGGCCGAAATCCTATTCTTGTTATGGCTTGCTTTTTGGACAAAAAAACTTCAGAAACATAATTGGAAGAGGATTCCATATAGGGGACTGCAGAAAAAATTCTAAAAAAATTCAACGTTTTGACACATTTATGGCCAAAAGCTAGAAGTCCATCTTTTTCTGAATGGACTGTAAGCACACAGTAGGCCTATTTACCCATTATTGGGTGATCTCTTGGTGTAACAGCGGGCAATACTCAGTATACATGGAATTTAGTCTCTGTATGGCATTGCACACTTACAAACACCATGTGCATTTTACTTTAGACACGTAGTCATTTACTACATTTACTACAGTGTTGCTCAATGATACCTGATTGTTATGTTATCATGTCATGTCGCCCGTGCCTGCCCTTCCTGGCGTGAGATGCAGAGCTCACAGCCCAAGGGGACAATGATGCGTGAACACCTCCTGCTCTTCCGCTTGAGCACGTCTCTTCACTTGCCAGGGCTGGGAGTTCTTGGTGTATTCCGATTGGATGTCTGGCTGGCCTTGCGTTGCCCGGATTGGCTGTACAGCTTCATCCCACGATGTCCTCCGCCAGCTTCGCCGATGGTTCGCTGATGTTGGTGTGCCTCGCAAGCTTGTGACTGATGGTGGTCCGCAATTTTCGTCACCACGTTTCCGGGAATTCTGCCAAAGCTGGGGTGTGGTTCACTGCATGTCCTCGCCACACTTCCTGCAGTCCAATGGCCACGCTGAATCTGCCGTGAAGAAAGCTGTCAAGCGTCTCATCTTGAAGACCACCCAGAATGACGACTTGGATGTGGATGAATTTCAACGGGCATTACTTGAATGGTGGAATATGGCCCCGTGCCGACGGTCGCAGTCCAGCGGAAGTATTGTCTGGGAGACCTATACGAGTGTCTCGTTCCTGTATGCCCACAGTTCTAGCTTTGCCCCTGTATGGCGAGAAGCCGCCCTCTCCATTGATTCATAACCCTTAGCCGACACTACCCGCTCCAACCGGTCAGCCCGAGACCTCCGTCCTTTGACAATTGGCTGTCATGTTGACCTGCAGCACCCGCAGACCAAGCGTCAGTCGTCAAGTGGTACCGTCGTCGCCATTGGTGACAGCAGAGATTACTACGTGAAGCTCCCCAGTGGCCGTGTCCATTGGCGCAACCGTCGTTTCCGGTGTCCCTACGCCCCGCCATGTTTGGACACTCCTGCAGCTGCGGCTCCTTCCGTGAATCCTGCTCCAGGTGCTCACATCGTGCCCTGTCGCAGCACACGTCAGTCCTGCCCAGCCGATCAGCTCGATATCCGCTCCCACTCTGGACAATCCTATGTGTGAGTTCCACTGCACAGTTTAGTGTCACTCAGTATGTTTCATGCAATGCCCTCATACCTTGTTGTATTTCTAATAAGTATCTTTACCTATTCCATAATTTCTGCTTCTTGTTTTTGCAGATCACATTCATCACAGTCAATTCTTATCCCCCGTGATCTCGAAGAAGGAGGCATGTTATGTTATGATAATAATTATCATGATTTGGTCACGTGTGATCCCGTACCGTACATGTTGCACTCAGTTCTCTTGTCTCTTGACCATGCTGTTTTCCTGGTCGATTGAACTTTCCTTTTCCCATGTCTGAAAGTAATAATATTGTTCTCCTGCTTGACTTGTCTTTGGGGGGGGGGGGGGGGGGCTGGGGGGCTGTGAACATTCCACTGATCACGTGAATCAAGTATGCGTAGCCCTGCACCACTACACATCCCAGTGTTCGTAGGTCTAGGGTTGCACAGTGTCCGGCCAGGCATTCACTCACATGATCGGATTTCATTGAGCACAACTGTAACGTTACGTGAACTGCAGTATCAGACACTTCACTAGCAGCTCCGCTACTGGTCAATACAATGATTGATGACTACATGTAGTTCCATAGTCCTATCACTCAGCTCAATGTGCTACGTTGCACATCAGCATACATGTACCCGTAAGTGTGAGGTAACGGCCTGTCTGAAGTACGCACATGTACAGTTGAGCTCGGTGAAATCCGACCCAACGTGCAAAACTGGCGCCCCATGCCAGTTCTGATTACATCAATGTATTTGTACATGTGTATGTCCAGCCGCATTCGTGCCACTTCCAGGGCGTCAAGCGCCGTGCAAATCGAGGGCGCTAAATAAGCACTTCAGGTCGGATTTCACCGAGCACAAGTGTACATGAATGTATGAAAACACTCCGTCTGTTCACATGCGCAGCTGAAAAAAAGATTACGACAGTACTGCTCCATGAAATCCAGTCGCATCACTGAAGTAACTTAAAGTTTGCGCCTTGCACCATTGCGCAGCCCAGTGTTTTGTAGGGCTGCGCAGCGCCCGGCGCGCACTTGAGTGACGCTACTGGATTTCAGTGTGCAGCACTGTACACGCACACACAGTCACCCAGAGACTGAGAGGCAAACAAGCATACTACATGCACACACAGTCACCCAGAGACTGAGAGGCAAACAAGCATACTACACGCACACACAGTCACCCAGAGACTGAGAGGCAAACAAGCATACTACACGCACACACAGTCACCCAGAGACTGAGAGGCAAACAAGCATACTACACGCACACACAGTCACCCAGAGACTGAGAGGCAAACAAGCATACTACACGCACACACAGTCACCCAGAGACTGAGAGGCAAACAAGCATACTACACGCACACACAGTCACCCAGAGACTGAGAGGCAAACAAGCATACTACACGCACACACAGTCACCCAGAGACTGAGAGGCAAACAAGCATACTACACGCACACACAGTCACCCAGAGACTGAGAGGCAAACAAGCATACTACACGCACACACAGTCACCCAGAGACTGAGAGGCAAAGTGACATACCTCGGAAAAGCACATGGACGCCGCTAGAGTTAGCAGCTCATTTGACATCCATGTCTTGCAGTCTAAGTCGGTGATCTTGGCGTCAATGCAGCGAACAGGGAACGACAACAAAGGGCCCACAGTGCGTGCACCTTGCTCCATGCCTACAGCACGAAAGCAGCATACGGAAATATCCATGCACACATCACAACTCTCAGAGTCATCGTAGTACTGTACATCAGTTGCACAATTGTCTGATCACGTTGAAGGCAAAATGACCCTGGGCCAGCACTAGACCCTGGCGATAAATACGGAGTATTACTGGGTATGCTAGTAACAGTAGAAAGTGGGCAAGGGTCCAGCCAGCCCTCCTGAATCAGGAACCTGCTCCCGCTTTATGCATGAGCAACCAAAGTGCACATACAGTACATACCCCTATGTGCACTTTCAAGTGGCTACTACAAGGTGCAGAATGCAAACAGCCAAGTGCTAGGTGGCTAATACTAGTAATAGTGTCACAGTAACCTCTATCAGGAACGGCATCAAGTGCTTGAGTGCAGTGCGTACAGTACGGGGCCCATGTACACAATGTACATTGTGCGACTCGGCTTTGCTGTAATTCTGAAGAGATCAAGAGCTCAGATACAGGAGTAATCACACCCTAGTAGTACCTTCACGCAGAGCAGCAATCCGCATAGCACCGGCTTCGCCTGTCAGCAGAGCATGTAGCTCGGACGTTTTCCCAAACGTCAACTCTACAAGTGACTTTTCGGCCAGCTCCCGGAACTCGTCACCGGGGGTACGCGATAGCTCCAGCTCCAGCTTGACGTCAAAGTTGCGACCGTTGTGACTGAGCTACACCGAAGAAAACACACACACACACACACCAGGCACATAATGAATTCATACGGCCGTAGCTGAGCCATGCAATCACCGATACCGACCAGGTTGTGCCAGTGGCAAATCCTAGTACATGTTCTACCTACATATCGGGTGGCACGGTCAGACTCTAGGGAAAGTACAGTCCCATTGCCCGTGTGTCATGTGATGGTTCAAACTCCTGTACATGTGCTGGATAAGATCCACCCTGAAATCAAATAACGGGCAGTAACCGGTAGGGCTGAAACGAATGCTCAATGAAGCGAACGAATATTCTTTTTCCGAATACATGCGAAACGAAGAATAATCCGAATATTCTAAACCATACAATTTCCATGGATACCTAGTTTTATCCATGGTAACCATAGACCATTAATTGGCGCCACCCCCATTACAAGAGAGACATTTGAAAAAGCATTTGTCTTGCTGATTATAACACATCGAATTCGAAAGAGGCAAGCCTACTTATATTTTGCACCAAATAAGCTTGATCGATGTCAAAAAGGCGAGTTTCTGTACATTTACGAATATTCCTATTCTACTTTAACGAAGAATATTCTTTTTCCGCCTTGCATATTTCGAATATTCGAATAATTCGAATATTCCCTTCAGCCCTAGTAACCGGTTCTCCGACCGTTCGTTCAGCGGATACCCGGTCATGCGGACGGTGTAACTCTTTAAGCCCTACAAACAATGCATAGTACCACGATGAGCCATGGCATGTGAGACTACTTAGCATAGAGAAGGATATCTTACTTTCTTTGTCACACAGTGTCGAATCGGAGCGGCCAGGGTCTCACGGTACGCCACCTGCAGAGGGCCCAGCTTAGCGTTGCACTTGTACTCTTTACGCAGCCGATCCTGAATGATCTCGATGTGCAGCTCGCCCATACCCGACAAGATTGTCTGCGTGCACAAGAACACACAGCGTGCCGCATGGTCAAGAACACAGCATGCCACATGGTCGAGAACACAGAACACATCGAGGCCATCCTCCCATGGTGCAGATTCAAGTACAGTACATGCACACAGTAGCACATACAAGTACATGCAAGCTCACATGAACAGCAAGAAGAACACTCAGCAACGGGAAAGGATGGGGGAGGGGTGGGGGTGGTGGGCGGCAACGGGGCACTGCGGAGATAGCGGTTGCATGCAGAATAAGGACATCTGCTGTGAAAGTGCTGTGAAAGTGCTGTGGCCTACCTCATCATCCTCTCCGCTGGTAACACGAAGACTGGGATCTTCTCTGGCCAAACATGCTAGTGCATGGTCCAGGGCTGCACATGTACAGGCACATGCACAGGCAATATGGTTAGAAAACACATGGAGACTACAGGGAAGTGTACAAGCATGCATTTACTTGTAAAGTCAGAAACCCTTGTGAACACTGACAGTGCACCCTTCGAATATCCAAGAAAGTGCAGCAAATTTGATGGAAAATAACGACAAACACTTGACCCTGACAGGGCTAACGTTCTACAGAAGTTGTACTGTTGAGTGACTCATGAGATATAACGCTACTTACCCCCACCACCACACACACACACATACACACCTGATATGCACACATTTCAAACTTACAATGTACTGAAACGTACCCACGTGTATCTCGTACATGCAATATCAGCCAAAGTCTGCTTTAGGGGCTGCATCGCAGCACTCTCAATCACTCCCAGTCACCCAAAAGGAAACCACCACACCAACACACACCAACACCAACACCAACACACACACACACACACACACACCAACACACCAACACACACCAACACACACCAACACACACCAACACACACACACACACACACACACACACACACACACACACACACACACACACACACACACACACACACACACACACGCACCCACATACCTTGCTGATGAGCCGCACTTTCCACTTCCACAGTACAGAAGAACACTGGTTCCGGCACTCGCATGCCAGGCAAACTTGTTATTGAGCTGCCTTCTGTTTTCTCCACGGGAGCAAGATCTAAAGCCTCTTTTCCTTTGCCTTTCCGCTTGGCTGTGCTGATGGTGGAGACTAAGTCGCCAGCGGCTGCTTTAGATAATAATGTATCACCAGTAATAGCCTGCAGAGTATGAACAGTTCAAGCAAACATCACATACATACATGACTCCACTACATGTTACTGCAATCAACGCTGCATGTACTGACTAACAGCCGCGTAGCGCAGAATCAATGGTAATTACTTTAATACGCCCACACAGCACCAAACACCATTCCAGCACCAGCGACCAACACACGTACACACACGCACACATACATACACACACATACACGCACCCCCCCCCCCCCTCACACACACACACACACACACACACACACACACATATTTGTACGCATCCGCATTCCGTCCAAATCCCAACCCAGCGAGATACCTGTGTGATCGTAGCCAGCAGCAAAGCATGAGCATGCAGTAACAGCACTATCAAACATAGCAGCATAGATTGAGCGGAAGCACGAAGCTGCGTGCACCCATTAATCTGCATTATCACCATAATGCTACACACACACACACACACACACACACACACACATGCACATGCATATGCACACACACACGCACGCACGCGCGTGCACACACACACACACAAAGCCTTGCTTACCTTTTTCAGACCAGTGACGACAGCAATGTTGCCTGCACCGATGCTGGAAACCTCGCTATACTCGTCAGCAGAGATCAGAATGACACGCTGTGCTCTCTCACTGCAGCAGCAGCAGCAGCAGCAGCAGCAGTAGCAGCAGCAGTACACAACAACACAACACAGTCATGTGGAGAGCAGAGTACCGGTAAGGGCATGTCCATGGACCATGGAACAAATCCATGACGTTCAAGACAGTGAGATCATGTAGCTATATCTACAGTCAACTTGTGTTTAGAGATCGTCGATCCTCAATACACAGAAAACTGGTCTTGATGCACACGTTCAACATGCACTCATATACTTGTATTGGCATACCACACCTGAACCCCCAGTGTTCTCGTTTGTTTGACCTATATGCAGCCATGTCACGTTACACGATTGAGGTGAGTCAACTTACACACAGTGCCGATTGATATTGTAGAACTCGTCACCAACCTTCACTTCACCAGAATACACCCTCATGAATACCAGTGGGCCACGGTTTGGATCATGTACAATCTACAAACACACACAAGTAGGAAAGTACATGTGCGACAAAGGCTCAAAACATTTTCAACCCCCCTCGTATGATCCACACAATACACAAGTATGAAAGTACATGTGCGAACTACACAACGCAAGTATGACAGTGTGTACGCATGACTGCACAGCGTCAAGCACACCATAGCAACTAGAATGCTTGTCGCTGCTGTGCCCACACCGCACAGTGCCATTGCACCCTCCCGATATCTACCCCTCGACTGACAAAAAGAGTATTAAACAGCTGTCTGGAGGGTCTAGCAATATCACAGTCTCAACAGAACTGTCCTCACTATGTCAGTGAAAAACAAGTGGAGCGGTTGGCCAAGAGAATGCAGCATGGAGCGGTGGAGTCCAGAAAATTCTATCGACCAATGGCCTACCTTGAAAACGAATGCGCAGAAGTCTTTCGCATAGTCCGGTCTACATTGCAAACACAAACCAGGAAAAATCAATCAAGCTAAGTTTTCAGCTTCATTATACCGGATGAAAAAGATTTCTTTCCTACTGCAGCGTCATTATTGATACTCCCCCTCCCCCCCCCCCCCCCTCCCTCCAACTTTACCCGTTTGTCTTTCTTTTGTTGCTATTGCTAGTCAATGCCCCTTCTTTTTCGAGAGTGTCTATTTGGTAGTAGATGCTCCGTATGGCACCGACTTCTTCACTTTGCGTTTCATCGTAGATCCATCTCCCTTGACAATTGTTCGAAAAACGCTCTCTCCCTGTCTTGGCTAGTTCATGCAGACAGCAGATGCTGCAGTAAATACACCAGCTACACGTGCCAACAATGGTTGTGGATAGCAACTAGGCACCGGCTGGCACGGATAGCAATCTCACATGTTGTCGCATCATCCATTTTTTAAGTACACACACTCGACGCACATGCGACAGACACGGATACATATTACGTACACTTCATTCTTCTGAAGGTCTGTCGGGCTTGGCAAGTATTTGACGATGGAGTCCAGGACCGGTTCGATACCTCGGTTCTTCAACGCCGTGCCGTACATGACGGGTAAGCCAGACCGCGAGACAGCCACACGCCTAACACCGGCCATTGCCTGCGGCCGAAAACAACAACACCCAATGAAAACGAAATGATCACTTTTTTTATTCTGTGCAGAAACAGAGCTCAGCGAGTAACATGCTGCAGAACGATAAAAATAATAATAATTCACAGTTCGCGTGAGGCTCGGCCTGCACGGCTGCAGGCCAAGTTTCCGCATCCATAGGAATGCCACCACCGCGAAGGATCAATCACCAAACAGACAAGTACATGAAGTCAACATCAAGATTAAAGGGTGTGCACTAAGATTTCGTATTTCATCAGTGCTGGGCACGTACCTTGTCAACTTCGACTTTACTTGCCTCGCCTCCTACTGACAGATAGTGTTCCATGAAGGCCTCATCCAACTCAGCAAGCTTGGAAGATGAAGACGGGCACAAGAGAACATGAGACTCAGATGTACATGCATGCCAGACACTGAAACAAGCCTCCAGGCAGGGCAAATTTCCACACGTGTAAATCAGCCTGCACCGCAATAAGACTGTGCACTCATAAGGCGTCATTAGCTTAAACAACAGCCTGTAGCACTGGGCACGGAGTATTCACACTCTAAGACTGAACACGGAGTATACACACTCTCAGACTGAGCACGGAGTACTCACACTCTCAGACTGAGCATGGAGTATTCACACTCTCAGACTGTAGCACGGAGTATTCACTCTCAGACTGTAGCACGGAGTATTCACACTCTCGGACTGTAGCACGGAGTATTCACACTCTGGGTATTCACACTCTCAGACAGCAACATTCATATGGGTGTTGGGTGTTGGCAACATCCCGGATAACATGTTCCAGTAAACTTCAGGTGAATCATTCAAAATCAATTTCTTACACAAATCAAACTTAAAAAAAACTGCAACAACAGCAACACCAGCAGCAGCAACACCAGCAGCAGCAGCAACAGCAGCGACGACGACAACGACGACGACGACAACGACAACAACAACAACGACGACAACAACAACAACAACAACAACAACAACAACAACAACAACAACAACAACAACAACAACAACAACAACAACAACAACAACAACAACGACAACGACAACATGCGCAAACACACATACCAACTATACAGGCACAGTCACTGCCACCTGAAGGAGGAGACAACACTAACCTGTTCAAACATTTCCTGCCGTGCCACCAGTGCTTGTTCTAGCAAGTCTTTCTCATGAGACGACTGGGTGAGGTCATAACGCTCAAAATCGGTGCACTCCACCTTTCCCGGCCACTTGGTAACATGAAGATCAAGGAGATCAACAACACCAACAAACTCCGGCCCGACTCCAAGAGGTAGCTGGTTGAACACAACACAGGGAAAAGCCAATGGCAAAATATGAAAAATAGCAAGAGGAACAACACCAAGCTGCAGCATATGAATAATGGCAAGTGAATATCCTGGGTCAAATCCTGGTGGGGATGACTGGTGACAGTCGACTTTTTCTCCTTCGGACTTTTTGAATCTCTTTCCCATTCTCACCTCCCTAAAGTTAGTGAATAGAGTGTCGGCAAAGATGTAATATAACAAGTTGAGATGAATCCTGATGGCTTGTTCCACGGCTTAGATTCCAGGTTCAACAGAAAGAATCAATGCAGATCAAGAACTGGCTAGTTTACGGCCCCTGACAACCATACACATGCGAAAGAACCTGACATAACCCCCCCCCCCCCCCGCTACACTAATCGCAGCTTTGGTAGTTAATAAGCGAAGATCTACATGGAGCATGCAATGTCCATTGCCGACACAAGTTACTTTTGAAAGATGGCCACCTGGCGTGAAATTATAGCAATGTCCATCGGACTCCGACAAATCTAATGCAATTTACTCAGAGTACGAGTAATAAAGCCTACCTGCAGGACAAGCGGGGTGACATTCAGTTTAGTCTCCATGTGCTTCAATGTCCGGGTCATACTACAACACGGCAGAGAGAAACACACAGTAGTGCAAGAAACGTTAGTGATTCCCATAGCAATCAAGATGAAGAGAGCAGACATATGCAGGTAGAAATCACCAGACAATCTTACTCAAAGTAGTCCGCAGAGGGAAGACGAGAACATTGAGCAGAGAAGTTCAGACAATTCTTGAAACTGCAGTCAAAAAATTATTCGCCGTGGTTGGCTATCACCCTTCATTTCACATTCATTTGTCATTGGCAGTCGTTTGACGAGCCAGGAAATGTTGAATAAATAGTTACAAATACAAATCAGTAAATGCTAGCAAGTGAAGTACACAGTGAAACAAATATTCACGGCTCACAGTCAGTCAATCAGTCAGGCTGACTTTTCCGCATCTGCAGAAACACAACCTCTATGAAGGATCAAGGCAGCGGAAGCACAACTACAAACAAAGCTCGCGTCGCCCTGCCATGGGGTGGTATGGGTGATTGGGCACTTCATACATACCTTGCCTTCGGCCGGTCCATCTTGTTGATGAACGCCACACAGGGAACATCGTACCTCTGTGCTTGACGCCACACAGTCACACTCTGTGCCTGAAACAACCAGTAGCACAAAAGGGAAAATCCCTGCACTCGTCACATGACAATGACAAAATCTCCAAGCGAGAACTACTAGTGTGATAATACTCCATGCCAGCAGTGGCAGAGCATGGCACAGAGAGAATCTATAAGTGAGGGGACAATACAGTTTATATTGTTCCTGGACTGTTGTCATAAGCAATCTCTTACCTGAATGCCTTTGACAGCATCATAGACGGCCACAGCACCATCCAGTACACGCAGTGCTCTCTCCACTTCCATAGTGAAGTCCACGTGACCTGAACAGAAACACAGTCGTATTCAAACACACAGTCGCATTCAAACACACAGTTGCATTCAAACACACAGTCGTATCCAAACACATCATACAATCATAATATTATGCGTCATACAAGCACTCGCACGTACACATGTGCTTGCACACTCAGCTATGTTCAACGGCACCGTACACATGTATATACGTAAAAACAAAGTCCCACAAGACAGCCATTGATTCGAAGAAACGAAGCTGATTTCGTGCATGCCCCCCCCCCCCCCCCCCACACACACACACACAGATGCACATGCACACACGTGCATGCTTTCCAAACCACTGTCTAAAGCATGGCTGCAGTCAGATAAGAATTGCAAACTGCCAGTAGAACTACGTGTACAACATGCACAAACCTGGTGTGTCAATGAAGTTGACGCGATGGTCCTTCCATGGGAAACTGATTGCCGCTGACGTGATTGTGATGCCACGTGCACGCTCCTACAAACACAACACACACACACACATACACACACACACACACACACCGACGCTTCTTAAACGACGGCCTGGTGCTGGTAGAGTGGGTGCAGGGCTTGGACAAATCCAGTACAAACAGCTAGTAATCGCCATTGCTTCAGACCAGGCGGTAGCGGCGCTCCGTCCACTTGCCATTGTCCATGACACCGAGCATGATCTGGTTGGTTGTCATCTTGTGTCCACGAGCAATGGAAGTGGGCAGCTCCACTCACTCATCTTGCATACACGAGCAAGGGAAGGGGAAGGGGAAGTGGGCAGCAGCTACACTCACCTGCTCCATGTAGTCCATCACCGTATCTCCTTTGTCTACATCTGCAGGGAGCAGACAAATAGCAGAATCCCAGCAGCAAAAAAAGATGATGAACACGGTGCTGGTTTGAGAAGCAATGATACGAAAAGCCTAATCAAGTGGCTTCATCTTCATGTGTGTCGGTAAGTATTTCGCCAATTAACTACTTACTTCTGATTCCAAAAGCAAAAGCTGCTGCGATAAACTTACCTCCCGAGTGTCGGGTAACACCAGCACTGAAGAGCATACGTTCTGTTGTGGTGGTCTTGCCAGCATCAATATGCGCCATGATGCCGACATTTCGAATTCTGTGATGCGTCACACATGCACAGTTACACACATAATATGTGATACACACACGAGCGCACGGCCGCACGCGCGTACACACACACACACACGACACACCATGTACACACCATGCACACACCATGTACACACCATGCACACACCATGTACACACCATGCACACACCATGTACACACACACACACACACACACACACACGCACACACACAAGAACACTGATGGATCCGCCAGATTTAGTACCTTAGGCTACACTCATCTTCCCCCTGCTCCACACATGACGTTGTTATGGTAAATCCATGTAAACTTGTCCTAATTTTGAATAACCTGGACAGATGTTTAACTTCCTTTCCTTTGACTTTCCGCTTCAGGCACAACAACGCAGAAATGTATGGGTCACACAATGCAGTATGTACAGTTGTGTTCACCATTATGCGTGCGAGAAGCCCAAAAGTTCGGGTTCTAGTTTTAAATGAATGGACTCTAACCGTGCCGTTGCGCACGGAGCAGTCGTGGAAGTGCTGTGCCACTGCGGGGCATGTACCAGGTGGACATGGTCCAAGCTTACACACGCGCACACAACTGCTCAGCAAATCTAAAATAACTTTCGACTGCTCGGCCTTTTTGCCGAATCCAGTACTCCAGGTATGAAGGACGAATCAACTGTACCATGGGTGGTCCAAAATTTAAAGCAGGTCAAAAAAGGGGATGCGCAATATACCTCAGGACGAAAATATTTAATATACTCCAACAAAAATGCTACATAACAGTATACAATCGTATAAACTTGAATAGATTACCTCTCAACTGGAGCATCCACCATACTCTGCGGGATCTTGCCAATCCCATAGTGGCGTGCTTGCACAAACCGATCCAGTCGCTGAGGAGCCAGAGCTAGAGGAGCTCTGCTGATGACCTTTGATAGTCTCTGCAGTGTCGCCTGGACAGTCATGCTTCCATGAAATGTTAGTGAGATATCTCAGGGAGATAAGAAATGAAGTATTTTGAACATATACGAGCACAAGCTGCTGCGCGACGTCAGCGCATTCAATGCAATCGAACCCAAGCTCCCAGGGGTTTCAGGATCTCAAGGAGATCGCTCTGAAAACCAAGCTCGGGCACTTCGTTCTCCAGAGCCAGTGAAGATAAGCATTACACTCATATTCTCTTATTACTAATTTTATTATTACTTGTATGGGTTTGAACAGATCTTTCAGATCGGACTGCATAATCGATGATGGTGCACCGGTGGCAGAGTCCGCGGGAATTCCCCCAGCAAGTTTTCACGCCACATTGTTGCACGTGACCATAGTAAACCATGCATGGTTGCCATGGTAACAAGAGTTCATAAGCCCTAATGCATATAATGCCATGGGGGTTATCAGGTTATGACCTCTTGATGGTAAACTACAGTAACTACTTGAAGTGGACAAAAGGGACTCACTAGCTCTATCTGTTACCATGGTTACCTGGTTACTTCAGATGTGTCTCACCAAGAGTACATGAAAACTTCATGTACTCTTGGTCTCACATCACGAAAAGAGACACGAGTCTACAAATGTAGACTCGTGTGTCTTTTCATGACTCAATGATCATGAAGCTGGAAGAGGTGGGATAGGAGCTCTGGAGACTTGAACTCAAGTATCAGTAACTTTAAATAAGTGAAGTTAGTTGAAGAGTGGAGCTGGGGAGGGAATGGAATTTATAATTACATTGTATTTCAAACTGCTCTGTCTCTAGCAGCGTTTGTTAAAACCGTGACTGCTTGGCCTACAATTAATTGCCGGTAGTTTCCTAGCTTTTGATACTGTTGTTATCGTATCTTCGACACAATCCGTTCATCCAGAACGAGCAACCACCAGGGAGTAGTACTAAAATAAAAAAAACCTTTTGACTAGTCGTGACCTGGTGGCTGTGCATGTGCAGCACCGACCCGTGCTGCCACATGGAGCCATATCATTAGTAATACACTGTACTAGTATTTCTTGAACCCGATGATGAACTCTCCGGTTAATGCTCTCAGTAGTATGATCACCTGAGCCATCCCCGGCATCCCATTCCCGATCATGTTGCTGAACTGAGACCGTGCTTACTCATTCTGTCTTGCGAATTCTCTCCCCTTACCCATTCGCTACCATGTTATTGAGCATTTTTTGCTTGTTTGGTCTTACAGATTCAAATACTGTGACCAACATTCGCTGGGCACCATTGCTCGTTTGGCCTTGCGAAGTAAAATAAAAATCAACAACAATTGTGAAAAATTAAACATGGCGCCAAACGGCTTCTCCAAGACTCCAACATTAATCTGAATGCATCTCTGGGCAGGTCCGGGCCACCAAACAATATACGGATGCTGTAGAGATGTTGCTGCAAGTAGTTGTGTTATGTTGTGTCTGACTCTGAACCCCAACTACCCCTCCACCAGTCACTCCGATATGCTGAACACAAGTAGATGACCATGAGAAAAGTACCAGGCACACAATGAGTCACCATCGCTAGGATACATGCAGAACGTTGCAAGGCAGTCGCCATAACGAGACCCTTGGTCGATTTAGCCGCTTCTGCCCCGCCTCCACTGCTTCAGCTGCCATCGTTACTGAGTATGTGCCTCCCTGCATGCTATCTTTTGCTGGTGTTTGCACCATGATGCTTTGTGGCTGTCTTGTAAAAATAATGACAGATACCAATGCCGGAGAAAGGGCCAAGCTTATTCAAAGCCCAAGATCCGGACTAGAAAATGGTGTGCTCTTTCCATGCCTAGCCTGAGCGGGCATGCAAACAGCTTTTTAATGTGTACTGGTGCTCAATAATTTCTGTTCTGAATCACTGAAGATGGTGCTGAATTAGAAATGTCATACCACGTTACATGTATACGTAGTTAGCTGTACCAGCATCGTGTTCGAAACTTGCACATACTCATACATGTACAATGACAATCATATCCAATAGCAGGCCGATGCCCATCCTCGATCCATGAGTATCACCTATTGAGTATTGTTTGCTCATGCTTCACATGGAAGAAAACGGATTGGCACCACCCTTCTCAGGCATCTACGTCATCATCAGTACATGTGCTAATAGAGGACGGATGTACATGTAGATGCATGGCCAAACCCGTGACCATGTACCGGTATTGCTAGCAACTAAACCTGATGGTTTCAAATTGCCATTGCAAATCCGCGAGCTTGCTTGCAGGTCCGGGGAGAATAGTGGTCTTTTCTGGCAGTGGTGATTTCGGTCATGGCTAGTGAAGCCAAATCCTTGGGGAATCAGATTGATGAATAATACCACAAGAGCAAGAGACTCCCTTCGAATACTAAAATAATTCCGTCTGGCAAGTATTTTGGTCACAAGTTGAGACCCCGTCAGAAAAGGTTGAGTCGCGAAGTTGTGAACTGATAACAGGGATGTGTGAAAGGAAACGAAAGTGGACAAAAAGGGAGGTGACTAAAGAAGGTGTCTGATAGTCTCCACGACGCGTATTCCTTCGGAAATCCTTCAAGTTCAGGAACAAGGAATGTTGGATGAGTAGCGTTGTACTTGCACTGGTCTCAGCATGTGGCCCATCCCTTCTCAGGCATGCTTCATTTACTGTGTTAAAAGTGTGTAACTATTTCGAAGTCGTAAGTTATAATTACAGTGGTCCCTCTATAATCCGGCACCATTCGTGCCACGGAAAATCTGCTGGATTAGGGAGGGACGACTGGGCTTATAACAGTGATCAGGGCGACCTGGTTGGCATGCATGCTTGACATGTGCGTTCAGAGGCTAACAATTACCAATCATAGACAAATATTTCCTCGCCTGTGAGTGACATATACAGTCATATACAGTGAGTCATACCGTTACACGAGTCGTACTACAGCTGTAACCTGTAGTACTGGCTGGTATCGTGGTTAAAAGAACTTCTTATACTCCCACGCTTTGACGTGAGCAGGACAGCTACATGACTGTATGTTTCGATCTTGAGAGTTGAGTCCACACAGTCCGTGTCGATGATGATTGATGAATAGAGATCGCACTGAGGATATGCACCCGGGTTACCAGCTTAGGAGTACAATGCACAGCTAGCAAAATCATAATTGGCAGGAAAACATTAATTCAATGCCGGCATTCCTTGCACGTCATCAATGGGTGTGCCACGCCGCTGGTCTGATACGCGGTAACATAGTAATCATGGTAATACATACTCGTACTGACTGTAGATCTACAAGAACTAACTACTTGTAATCACCACTTTTAGATGAGTTTTATCAAGAGTACATACTGGTTTTATCCTTGGTTCAGCAGACAGTCTCCAGATGCTATGTGAACCGTCAGTCAGACGGTAAGGTTGAACCAAGAGATCCGACACAGGCACACAGGGTATGCCGCGGGCCTATTATAAACTAGCCGCGCAACAATGACATTATGCGTCTGTCTTGTTAGCAAGTAATAACGTTAACAGCTTGGCATTTGCTGGTAGGACAATTGCTCGATGAGCATATCGGCGCCCGGGGGACTGTGACTGCAAACCCACTTGAGAACGTCTTGCCTAGAATTGTTTGGCATTTCAATTGGTGCATGACACATAGTATTTGAGGATAGACGAAGACATTCTTTACCCAAGGGCACGGAAGTACTGTAGGGTGCCACTCTGTGTTCGCAAACAGATATGCTTCCAAAATGGATGCAGGCACATTACGAATCTCAAAACGGTGCCTGCTGCAATATTGTTCAAATTCGTCGTCGAGCGCTTGTGGTGCGATAACAGCTGGATCGGAAAGACTCTCAGGAAATCCAAAGCCGGTCTGCGCGTTGTATTCCCGCAATACTCACTGGCTCGAAAATTTCACAAACCCGCATGGCTTGATTGTGCTACCTGCAGTGCCGGTAGATCTACATAATCATTGTACATAATCATTGTACATGATTGTACAGCAGTTCAAGCTAGCCCTGTTAAAATCCAGGAAACTGAGCTACTGTGGGCATGTATTACATGTAACGGGTCCTAAGTATTGCCCTCTTCAGATCATCGCACAACATCGGCAATTCGTCATTATTTTTAATTCATCGTCCGGTATTGCTTCTTCCCCGCCCCCAAAACCTTCCTTGCAGGGGTCGGTCTGGTACCCTGAGCTCGGCTTGACTTGCATGATGGAAACGCTTAGCTATCCGGAGATTGAGAAGCGTGGATAGTTTTCGTTTGCAGTTTCATGGAAGAGGGATCCTCTCCTCGCTTACCTTACACTGTACATGTACATGTATGTAGTCATGTACGCAAGAGGTACACAAAAGGAAGTAAAATAGGGGTGTTTCGTTGTTTTAGACAGTTGTCTGAGGATTGGTTTTTGCCATGAAACTCTGAGTAACAACGATGAATTTATCACTGCAAATTAAAATATAGAATAAACCCACCAAGTGCAGTCTGTAGACGCCAGCGCTTATTATGGTCGGACATGTCATCTGTGAAGGGAAGGAGTATGTATCCTACAAAAGCCTTTCAGCATGGCAATAAGGACAACAGACATTAGTCGAAACCCAGAGGTGTCCCAGTGACCAGATGGGTAGACAACATTAGGAATGACCTTTTACTTCTCAACATGTCTTTTTGGAAAGCGGAGAAACTTGCCTCGGGCAGAGTGGAGGGGCTCGACGTTGTCGACAGCTGCATGACCCTCATCAATTTTGATGACGATGAGTATCATAAATAAAAGCAGCAACAACAAACATACTCGAACTTTGTTAAACACGAACTTGACACCCTATTATTAGATCGAAGAGTACATACAAGTAGTTTGTGACAAACATAAATTTTAGGAATGAGTCGAGCTGTAGCCACAACGCACTAGTCGACAGGGTAGATGAAGAACTGACGCCAATGCATTGCGGGGGCCGGTGCAGTGTTGTCAGATTTCAGAGACGCGATCAGCCAACCACCTGGTCGTCACATTGTTCAAAACATTCCGAAATATTTAAAAAGGGAAGGAAAAGGGATGAACCGCGAACACTGAACAATTATTATACTTACTACCAAGAGTAGATAACTAGCTACTTCTCTGATTATAATTATACTCTTGTTACTACATGTACATGCACTGGTCTCCCTGGCTAAATGCTAGAAGTCATAATTATTACATCGAGTTTCCACGACGGTGCTGATAGATATAAAGACAAACAGAATGCAGTATTGTGCCAGTAAACAGGTGGTCACATGTCGTTCATTGGGTCTCACACAACTGTAGCGTAGGTCTACGTGTTAGTGTCCCACGAGTGAATTCACTAACATTTTGGCTCTCTACTCTAGCAGACAGTACAGTAGCGGTAGTTGAAGTCCGTGCTTGGATCGAGGAGTCGTGAAAACCTTTCACGACTCCCTGGTTTGGATCTACATGTACATCTACATGTAGAATCTTTGTCAGAAGACGCCATGCATGTGCCAGGCAGAACACACGTGACATCGCACTGATGTAGCAAGCTTGAAATACTCGCGAGAAGTCTAGAACACCGAGGAGGGTCGTACCAAGCACGGGATGGACAGCACAAAGCAGTGCATTCCTTCGAGCATCTGCCGGCCAACACGGCAACAGGGCAGGGAAAAATGAGCAGGCTTCAGCGGAGACCATGTAGCAGACGACACATTCTTCGTGCGAGGTGTGAAAACCGCCGCTGTCTCGTGTCATAACACTACAACTTAGTACAAGTCAAGACATGTGTCACACAAACTCTGATCTGCCGAATTCAATAATTTATAGTGCGTATACCAGCGTTGTCTGCAGCTGCAACTAACTTTGCAAGGGTTGAAGGCATGTATTCTGGCCGTCTTCAGGCTGCACGATCAACTGACAGGGGCGCACACTTCAGCGCACAAAGGCAAAACTAAAGCTCAATTCACCCCCTCAAGGCGTGCTTACCCATCTACAACTTTGCTAGAATTGCTAATATGCGATCAGGTAGCATTCCAATCAGGCTTCACCACACCTGCATAAGTGCACTCAGATGGTTGTGCCCACATCGTTGCCTATCCTAACGCTTGCAATGGTCACTAGGGCGTAGCAAGACTCGTTCCATAAGAGCTCCGATGCCTTGGTGCCTGGTGGACCGGTGTACAGTGTTGGAGATGCGTTGGCAGATACATGTATGTCCGGGTCGCATGGAGCTGTGAATGCGATATCCGGCTCGCTGTCTTCATTACCAAGTCTGCATGTCCAGCTCTTGTTACAATGAAGCAATTGGTTTAGTCCACTGAGCAAGCCTTTCCCCCAAAATATGATGACGTTACGTGCTCAGCACATTCCCTATATTCCGTACCTGTCACAATCACATCCAGTTCGTGAGTCGGTACCCGGGTGGTCCGGGGTGGCATGGAGAAGTGAAGGCGGAGAGGTTATGATATGAGGCATGCAATGTAATGGTAATCCCCGTTGTCATAGTGATCGCAGTACCGAGGGCAAGACCATGCTCTTCATTTTCTTTTTTTCTCTTCTTCCGTGGTTGGTCTCACCCTCTCCTCAATTCAATTGGCTGTCTTGACATGCCACGAGGTGCAGAAATAAATAAATAAATAACCTTGTACCTGCATGTCTCCACGGACATGATGAGCTAATGTTTTATTGTTTCCATTCGCTTTCATGTAATTGGGCGACACTGCCCGTTTGGTTCTGCGAATTCAAATACAAATGTACCTACCTACATGTATCTATTACTCTGCTAGTAGCCCAGTAGTGACTAGTACAGTGTAATGAGCCTGCTAATGGCATGCGGTGGTCAGCGTGGTCAGCGTTCTTGTAGACCAGAACCAGGCACATACATCATCATGTATACGTCGCTGTCTTCTTGTCTGACTAGAAACTGAAAATGATGGGAAATTGTACATTATCTCCATTTTCCCTTTTTCATTTGGATGAAAGTTATCATAGTTATCTTCAGTTATCTTCGACTTCATGAAGTTTGGAGTGCTTTCTTGGTTATCGTACATGGATGCAGCTAATGGGGTCGTTTTCGGCACTTGTGCCAGTGGTTGTGAGACTTACCCACTCACCCCCACCGTTAGGCGCTGCATCTGCCGCTAGGGTTTATCGGGTGTTAGCGGCCGTCGTGAGTTCCCTTCGGGAACGGACACGATGGTTGGTTGGTTGGTTTTTATTTCACTTCGCACATTCAAACGGGATGACGACCCAATAAAATGACGGCGAAGGCTTAGCCTAGAATTATAGAAGTGGCTATGGAAGAACATAGTAAAAGCTATGGAAGCACATAGTAAGAGAATATTATTATTATTATGTGCTTGTTCGCGTAGACATCAGCATGGCCTACAGCTGCATTAATGGGCATGCAAATCATGCAAACCAGCCAAAAATGTTCGCATAAGCCACTTCGAATAGATACAAAAGACCATAACAGTTTCAGAAAAAGAAGAAATATGCGAACAGAAGACAAAAACTAGGGTGCCGACACCACTCGGGCACAGATGCCCACCCAACCGCTTCGGTCAGCAGCAAGGGCACGGAACGCCTCCAGATCGACTTTGCTTGACAAGGAAAGTCCAATCCGCTTGGCATCATCTTGTAGTAGCGTTGGTAGTGTGTGTCTTGGTCGTCCCCTCCAGCCCGCTGGACGAGGCTCTGCGAAGTACGCTCCCATGGCCAGTGATGGTGGGGAGTCAGCCGGGAGCCGGAGGACGTGCCCAAAGAGCCTCCACCTAGCTCTCAAGATGATAATGCCGAGAGGAACCGCGCCGGTACGCTCATAGAGCCTCTCGTTCCTAATCCGATTCGGGAACACAATGCCGATTAGCGCCCGCAGCTGTTTTCGGTGGAAGGCCTCAATACGGCTCAGCTGCTGTTTCGTTGGTGCCCATGTTGCACAATTGTAGCAGAGTACAGGGAGTACAAAGGCATTATAGAGCCGGATGCGGAGATCCCCCGAAAGTAAGAGAATAGGATACTAATAACTGCGAGTAAACGGGGGGAGAGAGAGAATACGATGTATCTGTGATACTACGTGAGGATTACTGAACTGCACGGGGAGGGAGAGCAGAGCGATCAGCAGCAACTCGAACTACTCCCTACAGGCACGATAATTTACTTTTTACTTACATGTGTACGTGTTACATGATTGTACATGTGCATCTAAATCCTTTCTCACTGACAACATCTTGTAGGCAGTGGTTTCTTTCTCGCGTCCATCATAACTTACCGGGTGTCGATGGGTGTGGACATCGATCTTCATGTCTCTTCATGTACATGTACATGTGTGGACCCTCCGGAATTCAGAAGCGCTTAGTGAGCCAAGCATCAACATTTAATCATAGTACAAAGTTATGTACGTTATTATGCCACGTTCAAAGACGACAAGTGACTTTATCCTTCCGGTCCCAATCCCCACCACCACCACCATCACCACCAGTAATGCACCATAATACCTGTACTGGTACACGTAGTATTCTGCCACAATTACTCCCTACCATAAGTGCGCAATCGTCATGCACATGTACAATATACATGGCACGTAATGATGTGCTGTGTACATGTATATCCATTGAAATCACTTGCATACTGCACCATGGAAACACTCCACAGATTCAAAACCTACTCGTATGCCGCAACGAATTGGCACGATATCACTGTGGTCGTGCCTGTGCTTCATCAACACACTGATAACTGATATTAGTAAGAAATCTGAAAACGATGCTTGCTGCACAGCAGGTGAGAGGCTGAGTGCAGGCATTGCCTCGGGGTGTCAATCACCATGATCACTTTCACGCTTCGCGCAAAACTACGGTAGTTTAAAACTATGCAGGGGCAGTCGCACCTTATTGAAATGTGTGAGGAAAGGAATTTCTGCCAAGCACCGGAACATGGGGTGTTGTCCCGAGTTGTACTGCACCTCTCACATGCCGCCGTATTCTGCATGACCGTGACCAAGTTGCCAGTGGATAGAATGTTCAAGGGCTTCGGAATAAGCTTGCCAAAGCTGCTCTTGTCCGCAATGGAATGGTGTCGACCACCGGATTCATGAGCAGTGTTGTGTGAAGTGATTAATTGGCACTTGAGTACTCGGAAAATGTGCTTTTAACCGACAAAGTCCAACCTGCTGTTTGTGATCTATGTGAATGTCCGGGTTGTTGTGCCAATACTTCGACACACACACACACACACATGTAGATCACTGACTTTTCATCTCCGCTCAAAGCTTTACTCCAGGCCTTTTCCCGCATTCAGCTTGGCCAATTTGAAAATGGTACAGTGTAAGCGTACATGTAGACGAACTGTGTGTTCTGTGGTCGTGCCAGGAAACTGTAAGATCCCAGGTGGCTACTCTGTGTTGCTTGTTGTGCTTGCCAGTGCGTGTGGCTAATGGCTAAATGCGGTGAACCGCCTGTTCTCCGTGTGATGCAGACGACGCGATCTGGACACGCTCAAGTGCTCGTGTCGTGGAAATGCTGGCAACCGCTGGTGGGAATCACGCCATTCTCTTACTCAACTTTCTTTAACCCCCCTTGAAGTGGTATTTGAACTTGTCCACACATACCGCGTGATTATACGCATCATGAACGCTGTGTGCGGATGCAGGCCCCTCTCTCTGCCATTTTCCCCTTGGCTTACAGGCCGGGTGCACGTTTGGGAAGCATCGATACAAAAGGACGATCCAACAAGTTTCCGTCTCCGTCTTCCTTCTTGAAGTTTTAAATTTTTTCTCTACACCATCTTTGGCTAAGTTGGATGACAAGTCAAGGCTCCGGCCACCTGTCAAGAGCTGCTCTCCACCAAAGGGTACACGTGCTCGCGGTCTGGACTCGGATTCCTCGCACAGACCTGTCCACGGGCTTGCCGCTTGTCTTGGCACGCTCGCTGGGAGTAAAGGTTTGGTATCTCAAGAACGCCACCTGAAAGACAGCAGACATAACATAACTTGTCATAAGCAGAAGGAGTACGCCAGTGATGCCACGATTCACAGCCTTTCACATCACCTCACTCAGACTGTTGCTAGCTTTGCAGACACGACGACCGCTGAACACGGGACCGGACCAAGCCTGTGGTTCAGCGAAGGCGAACTCCTGCAGTCCTGGGCAAGACCTCTGAGACTGTGAGTCACCAGGCCAGGGTCACTAGGTAGATTTTCCCGTGCCGCGAAGTTCGGCGTGGCGTAAATCGTCCGACTGACGTAGAGTAGCTACCCGTGGAGTAGCCCCTTGAAAGCTGCACTGGCAGCTAGCTAGCCCAGCTAGGCATACCATACATAGATCCCGTGCCTGTGCCTGTGGTGGCTTGTCGAGTAGTTCTACATTCACCCGTTGTGCAACAGCTTCGGACTTGTTCGCTGTCTCTTCTGGACTTGTCCGCTAGCTGCTGTTTTCTGAGAAAGCTCTGCTTCTTCCCAGTTGTAGTCCTGTCTTCTCTTCGCGGCCCTTGTCTCATCCCTGGAGAAACTTCAGTCTCATTTTACCTCTTAGTCCAGCCAGTGTTCAACCGGCTGGAGGACGTAACGGGACGGATGTTGCAGGTATGTCGATACTCATCAAAATAATAATTTTGAACCTGTTGAAAATTCAGACTATGAGCGTGGCTCGTGGTTGGAAAGTGAAATCGGACACGCGCTGTTTTATGAGGCTACCTGGGACCACTGTGATTGTCGCCATTGCATGCGGTTCATTTCAGCTACAGACTAGTTGCATTTCAATGTGATGTTCTAGTAGTAGTAGTAGTAGTAGTAGTAATAGTGTTAGCAATGTGATAGCAATAAATGTAATGCTGAGCCATAGTTTATTTGAACAGAGCTTGTCGCTGCGAAGCAGGACAAAGTACAATAAGTATTAGTTAGTTGCTTCCGCCGCAGTCTCCGCAGGGAAGTAACTTCCTAAACGGTTGGCTCACCAGTGCAGAGTAGACGAAGTGAATGCGGAGGGGGATGGGTATGTCCGGAATTATGTGCGTTGCTACTCGTGAAGGTACATCAGGTTTCGGAAACGCGTGCGGACATTTTGAATTTTGAATGGAACTAAAAAAAAGCCACTGTGAACGTGGCGAAGCACATCATTGCATAGTAGACATGATCGCGAGAAGTTTGTAACGGCTTTGGCTTTACCAGGGCGAAGCAGAGTACTACTGAGTAGTGGCAAGATCAGTGACTGAGATAGCTATCGCATAGTTTACAACATAATCTGTGTGCTAATCGTGAGCAGTACAACTCGTGTATTTGTTTGTGTCATGCCAGGCAACCGCATGTGCTTGAAGACTTGTAAACACAACAGATCTACATAATATATACCGGTAATACGTGTTATCACCGCGGCTAGTCAAAGTACTTGAAAGAAGTCCATTAGATAGAATTGTCATCGGCACATGACCTATTGCTACATGCACGGCACTGCATGCTCAGGCACATGGCAGATTTACCTTAGTCCGACTGCGTTGTAGAATTACATGTCTGTATGCCGCCAGCGTGGCAGATATGCCATTCTCTTTGCAAGACGGTGTACGTGCTGAGTTTGCCGAACACTTAGTCCTTTGGTAGAGTTATGTAGTAAAGAGCGCTGTGAAACCTGCCTTAAAGGACGCCCGAGAAATACAGGCACCACGAAATGTTAGTCACCTGAGAAATAGAGGCACCCGGAAGTATTGGATACCTTTCTTGGTACGTCTGCACACAGTCACTGCACTTGCCGAAGTGAAGACACCGTGGAAATGATGCATCAATGAATTTGGGCGGTCCCCTGGGTGTTTGCATAACTCTAATTCTCAGCTTTCTCAGCTGTATTTCAATTTTCAAGTAAACTTCTGTAGTGTAGCATCACATCCAGTGTTCTGTTCGAGTTGCTCATGGGAAACATTTGAACAAAGTATTAGGTGGTCTTGGAGGTGCATGTACATGTACATGTATGTGCACCCTCTGTGAGTTCGTGTACATGTCCGCAGTCGCTGATGAATAGTCTTGAGGCTAAGGGGCTGGTTAGCTGCTGGCAAAGGTGTGCCCTTGCTCTCTGCTAGCCACAGCAAAGTGTACACAGTGCCTGAAGCGATTCTGGCAGTGGGTGGTATTGGGAGCATTACATGATCCATGTGTTGGTTGTGATGTTTAACACCAATACCAACACACGGGCTGGTCATAGTGATTAGACACGTATCAGCTGAGCAAATCCGTCTCAGCGGCACTGGGGCGAGGTGTCTAGACTGTAGTGTGTTCTTATCACACAGCGGACGGTTCGTTTACAGATGGCTGCTGTAAGAATGTGGTGGGCTATCTCTCTGTAAGGAACGTTTGGGAAATCTCACCAGGAGTGCCGTGAGTAAAGAAAACTGGGAGGACGGCAGTCGTTCGCGTGCATGTTCACCGTCTGCCCTGGTCTGTGTGACGCAGGAATATGCGCAGACTGTGAAATGTAGAACAAGGAAAGTAGGAGTGGTTGTATTTGTGTGCTTTCTCATTACAACCCTATGCACTATTGATGATTTCTCTTGTCTTGTGAAAATTCCTCTGAAAGTCCCGCCGAGCAAACTAATTATTTTCTCACCTCAACAATGAATCTGGGCAATACTTGTACAGTGTAAATGTATATTTATGTGTACTTTGGCGCTCATGCTGTATCGTTCTCTGCAGACCATGAGCCGCCAACGGGAGATCAGCATTGACGAAGCTGTTACCCGCCGCCACGTCCTGCAACCCGAGAGTGAGCAAGCCGCTGTATCTAGTGCGGGGAGTGGTGCCTTTTCCCAATCCGCAAGCACTCGCAGGACAACAGTGAGTGCTGATAGCGATATGGGTCTCACACGGCAGCCTGTAGCAGAGGGCGGGGACGCACGGCGCAGGCCAGTGCAACTCAACGGCGATAGTCTTGCACTGAAACCTGATTCGGGCTTGCCTGATCAAGCGGAGCACGTTAAAGCCGAGAGGCAGCAGCGTCTTCGCGACCTACTCGAGATGCCACCGATGGACGCTTCAAAGTTGTATCTGAAGTTGGCATCCACCAAAGCCAGTGCGTTGCGTGGCAGTCAGTCTATACTGAATCATGTCGTGCAGCTGATGTACTTGCGGGATGATAATGGCACGAGTATGGCTGCTGCCAGGGCTAATGCCACATCAGCATTGACGGCCATGGTGCAGAGTACTGCCAGAAACGCCACGGAGAAGAAAATCTGGGAGTTGCTGCGGCTAGTGTGGTTTCACTGCGAGATGCTACGCGAGCTGGGCCAAGGTGGACCAAACGTTTCGACAGCGCAGCATGCCGCAACCATCAGCACAATGACGGAACTGATGACAATTTCGTTCGATTCTGATGCAAAGGATTCTCTGCGATCCCTGGGAACACAGCTTTGCATGACAAGCCTGTTGCGCCTTGACCACGTGTGCTACCCGCAGCAAAGACCCAGGCCAGGGTCGGAGAATCCAGCCGAAGGACATTCGGCATTTAGCCTGCGCAACAGCGTGCGCGTTAATGCCTGCACCATCCTGTGCAATCTGCTAGTCAACACACCGACTGCGAAGGCCGAGCTGGCTCAGACGCAAGGCTTCCTGGCCATAATAAAGAAGCAGCTGGCAAGCCCATTGGAAGAGCTTGTGCGTGTGTCGGCCGTCCTGCTGCAGAACCTGTCGTTCCACGTGGACAACAAGATCAAGTCAGCCCTAAGTGATGCTAATATTATACCAGCCATTGTTGCGGCTGCGTCCGTGGCCCAGATGAAACCCACGGTGGTTGCATTGACCAGCGCTCTGTGGAATATGTCGGCACACTCCAGCGATACGTACGAGAGCAACAACAAGACTGCACTCTGCTCATCAACTGGAGGCTTGGAACTCATTGTTAACCTGCTCGACATCAATTGCGACGATAAGAACACGCAGAAGATCCTGGAGAATACTGTCGGCATCTTGCAGAACATCTCCAGTCACGTAGTGCGAAACTTGCCACTACTCGTGCACGTTCGCCGCTTGAATATTTACGAGGCATTGTCGCGGTGCCTACGCCGTCGCGTGGTGGCATCAATGCTGCGCTCCGTTGTTGGTGCTCTGTCCAACTTTGCTGCCGGCCAGGCCGAGGACAAGGAGGCGATCCGTCTGGCTGGAATCATACCATTGCTCGAAGACATCGTTTCCAACAGCAGCAGCTTCACAGATCCGAAGATAAGCGTGTACGCAAAGCAAGCGCTGACAAACATAAACCTTGCACCGGTACCTACGCAACGACGACAGTCTGCACCAACCGGTAACACTCACAGTCGGTCAGGATCATTTGCAGAGCACCGAGCATCACCACTGACCGGCGAGGCAGTGGAAACGACGTTCAGGCCATCACCTACATCAAGCACTGGCGACGTGAATCACGATCATTCCGTCATGAATGCTGACCTAGTCCACCGCCCCGTGCCGGGCAGAATACACCCACGCAGACAGAATCGCCTTGAGTCCGTTCAGCAATTCTTCACGCCGTCGCCGGCCAGCAATTCAAGAGAGGACCTGCAAGCTCCCGCCAATGTGCGCAGTGCCGTGTCTGCTGACAATGTGCGGGACCGAGCAGCAGCAGCTGCCAGCATGCTCCATTCTGAGGCACAGGACCTTCCACGCAAACCACCGAGAAAGCGTGCATCTGATAGCACTGTGCCCTCCGGCCAGGCGCCGTCCAATCCGTCTCCTTTCTTCAATTACCAAGCCCCGCAAGGCCTGGCTAGTGCAGCTGCCTCGGCACAGCCAAAAAGAACGGAACAGCGCCCAGCGGAAAATTGGCACGCCAGGTCGCAATCCGATAGCGCAACCACTGGAGCTCACATACCTTCAAATCGGCTACGCAACCATGGCCACCGGCAGCACGCGCAGGAGGGTGAAGAGAATCCACATCGGCCCCTTCATACCCGGCAGTCGTCAACTGGATCGGCTGCGTCTGGTGGACACCGGCAGCTACTGAGCCCTTCTCCTACAGCGCCAACCAGTTCCCAGGAAATCATGCTATCGCAGCCCATGATTCCAGCTGCAGTTCAAGAGGAGCCGGTATCTCCCAACCAGAGCATGCTCGGTCCTGTGGATGAGTCAGCCGTTTCGATTACCCATCTGTAGGGCAGAGCTGTGTTTCCATGCTGCACAACAACTTGTTCTGTCAATTATTTGATGGTGATCTGCTGATGTTCGAGTCTGCGGCCTGGATCATTCAATATAAGTTGCCAACTAAATAGCAAGAAGATGATACCATCTTGATCTTGATAGACAGGGTGCAGTGGTTCGTACTGGTTAGCTAAATGCATGCTAGTCTTCTCGCGCTCGCCGATGCTGTAACATAGTAACAGTGCCTTGCAGATGAGTACAATCATGTTTGCACATTATGTTTGCACATGTACTTACTTACCTTTTGGACTGGATTGTTCTTTATTGTGGTAAGACGGAGTGAGCATCAGCAAATAATAACATCACTGTTGAGACGATGTGTATTTATTATCCCAATGCCGCGCAGTGTTGCTCATTGCAATGGGCCATTTTTTTGTAAGTATTTGATGCTATTGAATTAGCCATTTCTATTCATATCATTTCAATCTAGAACGGCCTAGAAGCTTCTGGTATGTTTTATTCTGATGAATATGTTTTTTTATCCCAGATAATGCCGTGTAAATAGTAGCCTGGCAATGCTCTGTATGTCCATCATGAACCATTCTAACCTTATTGCATCATCAGTGTACCATCTAACTACTGACTGTCTCATAACCTGGAACCAATGCAGCTGTTGTATAGTTAGTTGAACACCATAGGACATATTTGTATCCGCTCTGCTTATCACTGTACTAAGTTCTCCTGTGTGCGTCTTCTTACAAATACAATGCTACACTTCACTCTGTATATTTTAGACACATGCTCATTCTCCCGTCTTTCTGCTACTGCGTGTAGTATTAAGACGGGGCCTAGGCACATGATCCTCTTCTTCTCTATCGTTTGAATAGGCTATTATTCATATCCCTATCCCATTGCAGGATCCGGAGTGTAATGTGGCTGTACCGAGGTTGATTTTAAGACCCATGCATGCGCTGTTTGGCTGCAACGCCGGTGCAGGAGTGTAACTGTGGAGAGCCCTAATTGTCACGGTGCAGATAGTATGGATCATGCTGCATTGGAATCAGAAGACCACATTCATTGATATCCTGGTTGCCTCCCACAACGTGATGACTTTGCACCACTCAATACCGATGCATAGTGTGGAGTACACACAAAAGCACACACATTCACCGTACATGTTGCACATGTGCAGTATGCCATTAGAATCAACAATGTTCCAAGGGATGTGGTGACATGGGTACACCACAATTATGTACACAAATTCAGTTTATCACAAGAACAAATACTGAGGACAAGTAGAAGGTCCTGGAGTGAAGCCGGTTATCATGTTGACAAACAATAGCATGGCATGGAAACAAGCAAAAGAACAATAATTATCACTACACACACCTAGTAAGGCTATACATTGCTACACGTGGCAAACTGAAAATAGTTTTTAAAGCTAGTCAAAATAAGTGAATCATCAAATCAATGTGTCAAAATTGCAATATCTGTATAAAAATAACTCTAGTGATCAAAACCCATCATGCGTGCCGAAGGCAAGTGGAACATGACAGTTATAAAGGACTATCAATAGTGCAACCATCACCTGGCAAATAGAAGGTGAGCATACCATGGACGGTAGTGTGCAGTACAATCATGTAGTCAGGGGAAGAGAGGAAGAATCAAGGCAACAGTGTGACAACCAGCGCATCTTGTTGCTAATTATGCAATAACCTGTATACACATAGCCTTATATTATTAGGCTATACAGTCTTGGAATGCAGTTTAAGGGTTATTCTAGAAGTGGGAACATATCAAGTAGAATGCTAGATTACCCGGGCACATAGCACACTGTACTAGCTTACCTGAAGCAGGACAACGTGAGCATGCGTTCGAGCAGAAAGAAACGAAAACAGACTGGTATGCAACGAACACATCAACGACAACATGCAGTGGCCTTGGCCAAGCTGAGCTCAGCCATGCCTCCTCTACCCTGCATGGTCTCAAGTAGATCTGTTTCAGTCGTCCATCAGGCACCAGGTGTACTGCAGCCTATACTGAGCTGAGATTGCACTGGTGGATGATAAATAGCGTGAAGTCAACATAGGACATACCATCCTCAGAAGAGCATGTGCCACTCTGAAGTAGAGAAATTGAACAAGAAATGAGACATTGGGAAATTAGGCCACATGCCTCCTGCTTTCTTCTCTCCGAAACTCAACACTTTCAAGCCAGATACGAAACCGTGAAGTCCAAACTTGAACCAACAATAGAGACAATGGAGTTATTAAAGTCATTCCAACAACTGTACAATCCATACTGCCACTAGTATAGTAGTTCTACTAATTTTCTAGCTACCGAGATGAAGTTATCTCTGCTTGATACCTTGGCCCTTCGGCCTTCACAGACCGGTCATGCTGGCTGGGCAGTGCCACATGTCCAACTTCATGTAAATCACGCTACAAAAGGTCCGTGCCCCGAATACATTCTCGGCCCCATACGTAATTACAACTATTATGCGTACTAATTAGCAACATCTCCGCCGCTAGACAATCAACACAATACACTCAACATCTCCATTGAACAATTCGCCTATATGCCCGGTTCATGATGCCCAAGCTCAGTATCAATAACACCACAGCAGCAGTTTCAAGGCAAGAAGGTAGGCTGCAGTATGATACTTACCATGTTTGGCAAGAAGGCACGGAAATGTAGCACAACGTCAAGGCCGGCATCCAGGTTGAGTTTGTATTGGTGGATGAGAGCCTGGCAGCAGTGAGCAGTACCAACATGAACAGATTGAAGATCGGAGAACAATAACTTAAAAAACCCTTACTGGGCCGGTGCACCATGCTTGTGCTTAGCAGAAACGCACACTGACTCAGTGAGCAGTACCAACATGAACAGATTGAAGATCGGAGAACAATAATTTAAAAAATCCTTACCGGGTGCACCATGCTTGTGCTTAGCAGCAATGCACACTGACAATGTCATCATATGGAGCTTATTCCCCATACTGATCACTGACTAACTTGTTTCATTGACTTACCGAGAGGGACTGGAAAGGCTGGAGAGGAGTCTGGGGATCGCTACATCCATAGTCATGTGATGATCGGTTCAGGCACAGGCCGGCTGAAAAGTTTGATGATGACCTATGGGCACACACACACACACACACACACACACACACACACACACACACACACACACACACACACACACACACACACACACACACACACACACACACACGTCAACTTCAACGGAGTGCTAGCTAGGAAGACCTAAAAATTCTAAGCTCCTCGACACAACATGGAACGCTGCAGCGACCACAACACTGAGTTACAATCAATGTACATCAATTTCTCATACATGATCATTCCATGCAAAATCCTGAACAACACAGCAGCCAATGGTTTAGTGGTGTCTGTGCATGTGTCACTCTGTACATGTGTGTATGTGCACCATAATAATGCATTCCAGTGGAAGATAATGGACAGGCATTTATACATACACTGCAGACTAAAGAACAGTAGCTGACTTACTGGAATCTGATGGTCACATTGCTATAACCAGGATGCTGGGGCACTACTACCCTGTAAGCAGAACTGTTGACTCTGTGCATTATGCAAACAAACAGAAAACATCGAAGCAAGCAATGGCTAAGTCCAAGCAGAGCCTAGGTCTGACTAAAATTTCAGTGCAATATATACATTAGAAGTGAGGTTAGAAAGTTTGAATGACACTGACAGTTGGCACTCAGAAATATCTCTAGTTTCTTATCTGTGCACAATGATCACTCCAGAATTCTCAGCCCAACGGTCACCAACTGCGTTTAGTGCCTTCAGTCGACCCTGGACTAACCAAAAAGCTTTGTTCCAACAGGATGAACAAAAGGCCTTGGAGATGCCATGAGTGTGTGTGAATGTTGGCAAACAGGAATCATCGGTAGGCTGCCTGTACTTACTGGATTGGATACAGGGTGACCGGGGAAGACAATGTGGGGATCACCACAGACAGGGAAAGATCGGCAAAGCCAGACAGAGTGCGCCCTGCAGCCATCAAGCAAAGTGAAGCACAGCATACAATCGTGTGAATGGATTTGGAAACCGTCACCGGATGCAAAGTTACGAAGACACAATGCTTGTCATACGAGCACAAGCCTACTTGAAAACTCAAATCTCGCTCACATTACCAATCCGGGCAATAACAAAAAACAAAAACACATCCTGAGCGACTTGACCCTGAGAACGAAACCAATCCACAAACGTACCTGGCGTATTTGCAGACTGTGACGCGGTTTGCGGAGCACTGTTGGATGCTTGCATCGTTGTTGTGGCCTGGACATCTTGTGAAACAGCTCCTTCCTGTATCCAGGCACAGCAAGCAAGGAGGACAATAATGAGACTACCGCAGGTCATGTGCTGGAGTTTGGATGCTGACAAGATGCCTACTAAAGACGACCCACAGTTCTATGTACTGTGGCTTTGGCTTGGAGAGGCTGGTCAAGAACAGAGTCAAGTAAACTAAACTGGCACTAGAACATATTGAGCACATGAAACATATCCTTCTGAATTGGGCACCCAACTCTCTTCTCTCGTCTCGTTTACCAGAAGCCGACGTATCCATCAGGATCAGCCACTTTAACCCAACATAGCCTTTCCCTCCGAAAATCCAAAGATTTTGTACCAGTACGAAGACTAACCGTCAGAGTCGTTGTCAAGATACCGGTAGTACCCCCTGGAGTTCCTGCAGACACCATATCATTGCCGGGTACAGGAGAGGCTGGTGACTCGGGGCTGAGAGGCGGTGGCGAAGTCATTCCTGGCGTCGTTATGCCTTGACTGGTTGTCGGTGCCGCTGTTGACGGCGCTGCTGCTGTCGTTGGTGCTGCTGTCGTCGGCGATTGAGTTGTAGCAGGTGGCAGTGTAGACGGCAGTGCAAGCGGAACATTGTACTTGTTGCAGCATTGATCGATTATACTGTACTGATAACTAGCCAGGGCGGGTGACAGGGTCGGCAATGTGTTGAAGTACGACGGGCTAGGCGTCGATGTGGCGCTACTTGTTGCCTGCTGCGTGGAGCCGAGTGTTGGAGTGTGCATTGTGGCGGCTGTAGTCATGTACGCTATCCCCGTACTAGCATCTATGACAGTGTGGTTGTTGACGGTGACGTCGCTGATTGGAGTCTGGTAGTTGGTAGCACTGCTGGGCTGGCTGCCAGGGGTTGTGTTGTTTGTTGAGGGTGATCGGAGAACATACAGGCCAATCATAGCACCAATCCTGTACAGAACACGCCAGTGTCACAGAACACAGACTAGGGTCACCGACTATACTGGAATTGGATGCAGACCAGGGTCAAAGCATGCACCCTCCGATACAGACCAGAGCCACAGCATGTACTGCAATCAGATATATTTCAGTGAAGGCGCATAAACCAGAAATGTTACCATCCAAGTGCAGGCCAGTTAGTATTTCAGCCCTTTGAGCTTAATCAATGCTCATATTTCTCATTCCGGCTTGTAACCAACAAGGTGAACACTGAATGTTAAGTAAGAAGGTGAGTGAGTACACTAGTACTGTACACACGACTGCGTTCAAAACACACTACGCAGATAAACTCACGATGCAGCCATGACGAGAATGAGGACGATGATGAGTCGCTGCATGAACTTGGGCGTGCACACAGATGTCTCGCGGTGCAGTTGAACCTCCTACACAGAATACCATGACAACACGTGCAACAGGTAGTTAGCAACTTACTTAGCACCACATTGATGTAGACAAAAGATTGCCATTTTGTACATTGTACACTGCACGCTTTTAATAGTCACTTTCTGTTGCCCCAAAAAGTGGCATGCTAAAAGTTAATGCAAATGTACATAGTGGAAAGTCTTGGAAAGATTTCTGGAGACATCTTAGAAACCATCAGACAACGCTAGTACTATTTACCGTTGACTTCTTATTGCGTGGGCTTCGCCTTCCACCATTAGCACTTGCATCTCGGTCGCTCTTCGGCCCAGCGGTGGTGTCGGTTGGCGTGTAGCGTGGTGGTGGTGGGTGGTAGAATCTGCACAAGCAGCCGCGAGGGACAACGAACATATACCCATCCATAAGTTACTAGTTAAAAAAAGGAGGAAAGAAGAGCATTAACGTTAATCGTCATACCTAAACAAATTCAGTTCAAGAGATATGACCTTGTCAAGATACAAAACATTGACAAGACAACACATGCGTTTAAAGGGTGCATTGAGTGGACAGAAGTGCGAAAGCCACCACAGATACATACCCGGATACAGTGTCCAGCGCGGACCCAGATCGGGAGTCCACACTGGTCTGACTACCCGCCGTACAGCTGAGGTAGCTGGCATAGCTACCCTTGCTGCGAATGCTACCGTTGGACTGGTGTCCACGGGGACAATGCTTGCCGTGGCGTCTACGCAGTGTTTCCAGCTCATTGATACGAGTTTGGAGGTTGTCCTGGCATCGGCAAACAACACGCAAGAAGGACAAACAAAGGTCAGTAGACTGATGCGGACTTGGATGTAGCAGCACAGGTATGGCATACATTTACATACAACTGATTATAATTTAGCAGACAAGTGACAAGTGCTAAGAATATCATGCATGTGTGACCTAAGGTGCGTTTGGTTGGTACAACCTAGAACAGGATTCACCAGAACAGCGCGTTCGGTTGGAGCTCCACCTGTTCTGGGTCGGCCAAAACATGTTCTGCTTGCTCCGGCCTCGAGGCCGGAGCAGACCGAGCAGTTTCACTTTTTCACAGTGAAACCTGGCGGGACCATCGATTTTGGTCTCAAATGATCACGTGCACATGCTTTTGGGTTGGATTCGTCGTACCCTACAAAGTGACCATGGTGACCCATACACATTTTGAAGAATGCACCAAGTTTGGCACACTTTTCACAAAAAATGTGCTCTGTTTCTGGAGTACCGTTTGGTTGGCACGAGGCTGCTCCATGTGAACCAGCCCTTCGATCCTGTTCTAGATCGTACCAACCAAACACACACCTAGCCTCCATTGATTCCACATCTTAGAAAGGATCTACAACCTTGATATTAAGTATACAAATACATGAGATCCCTCCTGAAAGAACCAGCACATCCGGAACAAGAGAACAGTTGCTCATCACTATTTAGCTTGGTGCAATGATAAATTCGGAAAGTGTGCTTTTAGTGTTTTGAGCGCGTCTGTCCACACTCACTGGCCTTACCGTCAGCCGGCAGAGTTCCTTGACAGCACCAACACTCTCCATGTAGATACGATCCTGCAAGCAGCAGCAAAACACCCAACAGTAGCATCAACAGCATTGGAAAACTGTGGGAGATTCTTGGAGATCAAGTGACAGGCCACCACCTAGCGCAATATTGGGTGCAACCGATTTCTGAAATGTACTTGAAGTATGAGGACGGAAGGCTTGGTACTGAAGCCAAAACATCATGGTTGACTATTAAAGTGCAAAATATATTACAAGAGCACAGCTACTAAGCCATAACCTGCAACACCACTCGGCCAAAAGCATACCTTATTGACAACAAGGACCTTCTCCACCTTCTGTCCATCAGCCAGTTCCACATCATCCTGAAAGAAAAAATGACAACAACATTGTGATACTTTCAACGCTGAACTACATCAGAAGAGTGAGAACCAGTGTACTTGAAGGTGCCGCACATGTTCACAAACAAAAGAATCTCAGCAGGTGGACATGCATCATGAGATACAGGAATGGGCAGCATTACGATCTGCCTACTTACCGACTCTTTGACAGCGTCTGGGAGAACTTCCTGCAACTCCTGCGCAATGACACCAACTTCTTCTTCTCCCACCTCCAGACCTGCTGCTTGTGCATACGCATCCTTGAACCTAAGAAGACAGGGCAATAGAGAGAGAGAGAGAGAGAGAGAGAGAGAGAGAGAGAGAGAGAGAGAGAGAGAGAGAGAGAGAGAGAGAGAGAGAGAGAGAGAGATAGAGAGAGAGAGACAAACAGAGGAAGATAGAGACAGAGGAATATAGATTCTTTAGCAAAAGAACCATTTTTAACCGCACCACCTAAACACTGCTTTTTGGATTTTCAGCTTCATTCCTCTTCACATTGCCCCCACGAACAGCACTCCTATGGGGATATCATAAGTGCATGGGACGTAGACCATCCACAGTATGGATAATAGAGCTATGGCCAAGGTCAGTCATACGTGCATGGGATGTAGACACCTCCCGTATGGATGATGCAGTCATGGTCAAGGTCACTTACTTGTACTTGTACAGTCTCAGCTTGGCCATACTATCCAGAGTAACACCAGGTGAAATCTGCAAACAAACAAACAAAACACAAGTAAAAGCCAGTGTCAACCCATGGGTAAGCCGCACCGTGAATAAGCAAGTCGGCTTGTCTCCAGTATGGTCACCTTTCCTACAACCGTTAACACTAACTAAGCGGCATTCTTGCCCAATGCGTTTCAGCTTATATGCAGGGAAAGCATTGCTATACAGTGTACAACCATTGTCCACAGTTTCCTCAGTTGAAACATTATAAACAACGACATTGTTATCCTGGATTTTACCTCTTCAAAGTTTTCTTTCAGGCGTCTATCAGACTGCTTGTACACTTGCCCTGTCACTCGAACATTGCCAGCCACCTAAAAAAAACAAGAACAACAACAAAGAATCATAAAAAAATCTATCGCACAACGGATACAGCGTCAATACATATAATTTTGGCTACTGAAGAACCATAGCCTTTTCTGCAGTATGGATGAGAGGAGCATTAATTCAAGGGATAGAGTTACTGACACAGAGTAACATGCATAGCCCGCTTTAACAGTTATCTGGCATTGAAAGTGCCAGCAACACGCTCAATTCTGTGATACCACCATGGCCGAGATAATCGAATCAATCGAGAGGCATGTATTTCCATGTCTTGTGAGCACACGAGCGAGAAATACGCCAGTCAACTCACCGTCAGCATCTCATCCGGCCGCTCCGTACCAATGCCAACCTTGCCCGGGTGATAGATAGATCCTGGCTGTTGTCCACGTGGCCAGGCAACTTCCAGTTCATTGTCAAACTGACCTGGATTGGCAGCCTGCAGTAAGACAAGATACCAGTCAAACCGTGAGCAAAACTCATCACAATCAACCTCACATTTTGCACTTCCAACAAAGTGTAGTAGTTCAGACGCAGGAGTATGTGTGGTCAGATAGCTGGCTATTGATCACGGTTTCTACAAGGAGTAGGTTAGTTTGCCGGGCCATCTGTTACAGCATAAACTGGCTTACCCGCACAATGAGTCGTTCGGAAACTTGCGATTGCAGAAGGTAGACATTGCCATCCCTGCCTAGACCTTCCATCGTTACCACCAAGGAAAAGTACCTGGACACGTGGAGAAATGAGGAACGGTCTAATAAACACAGGTTCCAGCTCATAACAGAACCGTCCCAGTGTGTGGTCACTTGGTCATCGTGAACACCTTCAATAGTGGTTATAAGCAATTATTGCTATACTGCCACTGTTGCCTCCACGTCACCTTCAATAGTTGTCCTCTTTTACCGCAAAAAGGACCAGTTACACATAGTCAAACGCACACACGCGCACGCACCTTTGGTCTGGGTTGGGACGACTCTTCTTGCGCATGTTGTTGGCAGTGGTTTCACTGGAGAAGCAGACAAGAAACAAAGAAGGTCATAGGAGAGTGATAAGATAGAACCCCTTCCAGTCATGCTTCACATCATCTATTGCATTCCCATCAAGCCAGACACCTCTAGACAACATCATGACTCGCAAGCACAGTAGGCAAGTGATGTTAGAAATGAGTAATCTGCATAGCAAACACTATAGTTTGTCCCTTGGCATACCTGAAGTGAAGACGACCCATGGTGATCTTAGCTGACAAGTCACCGTTCAGTTCAATCCTGGAGGAAATCAGTCAAACAAAGAAAATTCAAAAACTAAGATAAGCTAACTACAACTGCATAACACTGAACCTCCGTACTGACAAGCTTTACACTGTGCAAAACAATACAAACCCATCGCAACCTGCCGGCAAGGAGGCTAATCAGTACAAACTACTTTCGAAGTACATCAAGCAGTACTAGCCTGTGACTCAATTGTACTTACGGAACAGGCTGAAAAATGTGCTTCTTGCGATCCGCCTGTGATTGCTCGATGTGCACACGACTGGCCATGGGTGCCTCCACCTGAGACAGTCAGGTCATGTGTAGAGAATGCCAAAAAAATCGAAACAAATCCATGACATTGGAGGACAGTGATAGGCGGCAACGTAAGACAGCTTTACACATGAATTGGAACACAATTCTATGTTCCACTGTGTTCACTGTGTTCTACAGTGCTGATGGCTTCCAAACACCTCAATGACTTGGACACTTTCGTGACTTCTCGAGTCATAAAATAAACTACACACATGTTGCAATAAAACCATGATAACCACAGTATGCCAGACTCAGTACCTTGATGCCATGTGAGTGAACTGCTATTCCCTCCAGTGCGGTGTAGCCATTCTAAAAGAAATGAACAGACCACAGATTGACATCCATTATCCACTTATGAGCAAGGTAACATTACAAGCCAACGGATTACTGCCAACTTCCCCAAAAGACCAATCCAGCTTAACAGAATACTGGTAGAAGAAATCATGGGAGTAGGGTCTTCACTAGTTTGAGGGAAAGAGTCCATAGGATTTACAGACACCCAGAGCCACTTCATCAGACGCACCAAGAGTGCTGCTTTCACAACATAGATGTGCTTGGTAAGTCCGAGCATGACCGGCAATGTGCCAGCCAGGTACAGCTGTCCTCAAACTTGTGGATGGGGGGAGACATGCTCAGTCACTGTGCATTAGTGGGTGATACAGATTTCGTCTTCGTATTGTGATAATTATGTAATTTGGCCCTATCACTGATTTCCTGCTTTGCATTGTCTGGCCCTAGCCTCAGTTCCTCTCACCTTTGTGTTGATAAAGCGTGAGCCTGGTGGAAGGCTAACAACAGCTGAGACCTAAAAGAAACCCACACACACAGAGCAGCACAACAGTGTTGAATTACAGCACACTTCACATCATCCGGCACCATCAAATGCCCTTTATTCACAGTAGAAGTTCTAGGCTGCCTAGACTAAGTGCAATGAAAATTGAAGACATAAGCCAAAAATTAACGGAAGCATAAACAAATCATACAAACTAACCTGGAAATGGTTCTTCTTCTGACAGACAAATGCATCATCCACAACGGAGTAGTTGAAGCCTTTGTCTGCTTCCACGTGGAACAGGGGTAGTTCTCTACACACACAAACATGAATGCCAGGAACATAGATGTTGAGTGGTTATCCACTTTGATGCTTGCACACCGGGCCATTTCATCAAACATACTTCGAATTGCAAAAGTCGTTTTAGAAGGTTTTCTATGGCGCACAGATCACATGTATATGTACGTACTGTTCCTCGTAGTTTGCGCCAGCAAGATGGTAGAAGTTCTCTGGGTAGTGGGTCTGCCACTTCAGGCACTGGTACGACGCGTCCATGTTTTCAGGGTCTCTGCCATTAGCCTCGTCTTCGCCGTCACCAGAGTCGCTGGAACTTGCATTGGCATTGCCGATAACGTATGCCGACGTGTCGTCAAAGCCTGCACCAAACAACCCGGCAGTACATCAAAGTCAGCATGTGCTGATACTAGTACTGTTGATTGCATGAGAAGTGAGCATGCTGATCTCAATACCACTATAACAAATTGTACATTTTCACAAATGTAATACAACATGCACATGAACTCTAGAGACGTGAATCAGGCCGGAGCACCATCATGCAATCAGGCCGGAGCACCATCATGCAATCAGGCCGGAGCACCATCATGCAAACGCACGTACCGGACGAGTCATCGTGCTTTCGCTTCTTGGCCGAGGGCTCACTGCCACGTGCACTAGCCGAGGCAGACGATCTCTTCTCCGGTGCGTGTGCTGCCTGGTCTGTCTGCACACTGTTGCGTTGCTCCTTAATCTGAGCGCTTGTTGCAGCTGCTTGCTGAGCAGATGATTGTTGCTGTTGCAACGGCACTGTCTTCTTGGCTGCAGGGAGCTGCTGCTGCTGATGCTGATGATGCTGCTGAAGAGGGTCTTGCAGCTGGCGAAGATGTTCCCAATTCTGCTGTTGCTGCTGCTGCTGTTGTTGCTGCTGCTGTTGTTGCTGCTGCTGCTGTTGCAGTTGCTGTTGTTGTTGACCGGCACTGTCTTGTTGCAGTAGCTGAAGCTTCCGAAGAGCCACCAGGCTCTGTTGCTGCTGCTGGAGTCGATTGATGGGAGGAGCTGCCTGCAGCTCATCTGGCTGCAAGATCGGCTGTTGCTGTTGCTGCTGTTGCTGGAATGCACATGGAGACGAACCAGAAACCCCCACAAGTTGGTAGGATTCAAAAATGTCCAGAAGCAGAAGCAGAAACAATCCTTCCAATACTACAAATATTCTACAGCTATTAATATTGTACTTCTCAATGATTTTCTGTACATCCATGTGACAACTTACCATCTGTTCCTGATTCATCTGCTGCTTCATGGCTTCCAATAGCTTCTCTTGCGCTCGCTGCTGTGCCAAAAGCTGTGTCTGCTGCTGCTGAATCATAGCTTGCAGAATGGCGGTTTGCTGCTGGGAAGATGAAGATGAAGAGCTGGTAGACGTCGAGACACTAGACTCGGGCGAACTTGGCGACCGATCAGCACGCTTTGCTTTCTTGGAACTAATCAGACAGAGGCAATGGGACAGAAAACACAGTAATGAATGATGGCTTGATCACATGTTCAGCTCCATTCTTTCCCTAGATAGGAACACTGTGACAAGGTATCTCTGTGAACGTGTGTGCCACCGGGATCTTCACCAACCACAATGCAGCGCTGATGCATAGGGCATGACCCTCCGGTGACTTTGTTCCAGCAAACTTTCTTTTAAACATACCTGTAACACATGCATGACGGACAACTAATTGTTCATCAGTGTTTGCTGACTAACCTCAACTGAGCAATCATCACACTTTGCTCCGCCAGGCTTTTCTGCAGCTGGTCGAGGCTGTCCTGCTGACGCTGCAGCAGCATGAGTTGCTGTGCGGTGCTCTGACCGCTGCTAGAGGGTCCCGCTGCCGGTGACAGGGCATGGCCGCTTGCAGCACCAGCGCCGTACGGTGAATGGTCGGATAATCCTGACGAGGATGCCGGTGAATGGTGGATATGCTGTAGGTACTGTGCCGGCGACGATGTGGACTGAAAGTGGCGCGATGCTGTGCAAGTGAAGATCAATAGTTGCACAAAAATGCAACACAAGCTAAGGGGGGGGGGGGGGAGATACAACTGGATAGACACATTCTCAACTGCACTCACAAGAGATCTGCACCAAGTACCAAATTAACTGTCAGCATATAAAGAAACTGGCAAAAACTTAGAGCACCGTATTCAACAAGCACTAGTGCTAAGCATCCTCAATGCCGGTGATCCTCAATGCCGGGGATCCTCAATGCCGGGGATCTATTTACATGTATACACAAACAATAATACTACGCACCATTCTGTGGCGAATACGGATCATCAGATGAATCCGGAGGAGATGGAATACCAGAGGTTTTCTCTCTGCAGAGACAAATGCATACAGATAAGTACACACACAGTAGAAGTTATCAGATATCTTGCATTATTTATGACCACTGTCCACAAAACATTGTATGCCCCCGCACACACACCAACTTACTCGTATGTACACACATGGCGTTGCCCACAATCATCCGTCCAATTATACCATGAATTGCTTTGGCAGATGATGTCACAACTCACCAGGGGCGTACATAGGGCGGTTCCCGGGATGCCCGGGAACCAGTAAAAAAATTCCATGTGGGTACAGACAATTTGTTGATCCAGGCCCAGCGCTCACAGTGCAAGTGCACGTCTGGCATCCGCCTGACGGTCCGATCGAGGACGGTGACTAGCCCAGGTGTGAAAGTAGTGCTGGGACACAGCGTACTGAACTGGGTTCAACAAAGTCTCTACTGTAGTTACATCGCCGGATTCCTCGATCTCGGAGTCAAATTTTCCTTTGGAGTTTGTTTTGACAAAGTAATTAGTTGGTCGTGTTTTGACAATGCTTTCGCTTTGTGGAAAAGAAAAAAATGAAGCGTCGACATCCAGAGGGCCAGCGCTCTATTCAGAGCTATTTTGAGCTGCAGACAAAGCGTGTAGCCAGTGCTAGTGGCGAAGGTCAAGCGATAGATGAGAATGCAGACGCACCTGACTTGCAAGCGAAGTCTGATCCAACGAGCAGCGTTGAGGAAGAAATCGTCGCTGAAGCTGTAGAGCGACCGTTGTTGGAAGCTGCTGGATCATCCAAAACTAACTTCAATGACATGGGAGTGTGTTGGACGGGATATTCTGAAAGTCGAAGTCCACAGCGGAATCCAGTCCCCCGAAATTTGCTGGACACGGAAAAGATTTCCGTCATCGACAATCATTGTGCGCCACCGAAGGCGAAGGATTTCGTTTCCTGTGCGTGTCCAGACGGATGGCAAACAGCGCCACTTTCAACTATCCTTGTTAGAGGAGTTACCCTGGGTAGTCTTTTGACAGGCATGCAATGGTGGCTTCTGCTTGCCCTGTGTGATGTTTGCTCCAGATGATTCGAAACTTAGGCAGCTTTCAAGACCGCATGCAATCGTCATTTTGAACAAAACATCCATAAAACGGGGAAAAATTCTGTCCTTTAAAATCATAAATGCGTAGCAATGACATCATCGTCCAGCAGCTTGTGGTTAACTTTCACCCAGTCTGAGGAGAATATGCAGAAACTCCGTGGGATACGAAAAAAAGCACTTCAATTGTGTGGAATGTTGGTGCATCAGTTGGCATGGGAACCACTCCTGGAGGCGAGCGGCGTACGCCCCTGCTCACCTTTGAAGCATACTTTGGTAGTTGATCCCTGCCAAACCTGCAACCCATCACAATGAAAAAAAGTATTGGTTAGATTTCAGGCAATCATGGAAATGGAATAATTCATAGAGGTAATAGTCATGTATACGAACTGCCAGCTCCTCACCGGGCCACGGCCCATCATAGGCAAGTTTCATAGTCTCTCAGCCCACCAACTTACCATTGAAGGGTGTACCATCGGCGGACGGCAGAATGAGATCGGGATCGACACCCATTGCTCCCAGCGGGAGACCAGGCTAGGCAGACACGAGCAGAATGTAAGAAGAAGCATTTCATTAACAAAAACAGACAAGGACTTCGGTCGTATTAATGCAGTGACAAAGTGCAGATTAGTGTATGTGTGTGTGTGGGGGGGGGGGGGGGGGGGGGTGCGCGCGTGCACGTGTATCTGCACTCCTTATACACCTGAATGCATGGTCATTATGACAACCAATCTTTGCCAGGGATGGGGGGGGGGGGGGGGGGGGTGGCAAAAAGGGCTTAACAACAGAACTAACCTGGCCATGGTGCAGTGGTTGACCAGCAGCGCTAGCCATGTCACCACCAGCACCTCCACCAGTCAGAGAGCTGGCCAGTTGCTTCAGTGCTGGATCACTTGACGAGTTGATGGTAGAGAGTATGTGTTGCAGGTTACTACTCTCACCTACGGAAAAGAGAAAAAGAAATTACATAGTAACGCTAGCATCATATTATTATGTGACGGCAATCCCAGTAAAAAAATTACAACTTACATAATTATCAGGATCCGCAAACACCGAAATGTATGGTAGAAATGATTCAACAGTGACCGTACATGTCACATAGTGCACATACCTGAAGCTCCTGATATCCCGCTGGAGATGGCAGATAAGCCCAGCGAGACATTGCTGCTGCTTGGTGGGTCAGAGGCAAGCAAGCTGCAAAACAACAGCGCGGGAGTAAGGAGCATTGAACGTTCAGTGAGGCAGAATACTATACTAAGGGTGAAGCGTAGCACTCTAATAACATACTCAATTCACTGAATGCAATACAGAGAAAGATACAATAAAGAACAACATTTTGCAGTTTAAGCAAATGACCTACCCAGGAAATTGCTGGGTTTCGCCATGAAGGTAGTCCTCGAGATTGCGAAAGTCCGAGTCGCTCAGACTACGGAAGCTGTTCGCATCCAGGCCAGCAGCACCTGTAGGCAACAGTTGATAGCAGTGGCTTATTAAGAGATGGGTCTTTTCATCATGGCACTACTCGCTGTAAATTCAAAGCTTCAGCTTAGCTAGTTGGTTAGAGGAAACCTGCTCTTTCTCAGCTACAATGCACTCTTTAAAACTTCTCTCCATCCTACAGCCAATTTGTTACAATCACGGTTTTGACAAAAATAAGCTCACAAATGACCAGAAACATCATGTTTACAACTCACAAATGGCCAGAAACATCGTAATACTAATAGTTCTGTGGTAAAGCTGCTACCTCGCACTTGCCATTGCATGCTAGCAATGACAAAAATAGCATTTTAGGTGCGGGGCCCACCATGGTTGTGATGATAAATGCATACACAGGCACAGTGCCAACTACGTTGAACGTACTTCGAAGTAACACCTAATATCGCACACCAACAATTCCCGCAAGGTATCAAAACTCCAACGGGTCATCGCGAGAGCGATGATCAGTGTCACTGCACTGTAGTTTTTGAAACAGGCTTTTAACCGCCATCTAAAGATATTGCTTGGGCAAAGGGCACTGGTATGATCTGAGCATACATGAGGACGTGATGCCACAGTCCCAAACTGCATCACTTGTATTTCCAGAAGGTTTCCACTTCCTTTCTAAAACACCATCCTGTGCATGACTGCTAGTCAATCTGACTTACCAATCAGGTCATTGACATCCATGTTTTCTGCTTTGCTTTCTGCCTTACGCAGCAGCCTTGCGGCTGCTAATGCCCTATGGTGGAAAATGCGACAAGAAACAGAACAAGATAGCCTGGTTAAAAAAACAATGTGTGCGTCTACTTACCCCCAGTGCAATTTTCAATAAAATTCACAGTGAAAGCCTGGAGCAAGTGCTTCATCCTCATGAAATGATACTGTTTCCACAATATGGCCTGATAATGATATTATCCGGCTGTTCAAAGGGTGCTCAATATTCAAAAATTGGCAGAACATTTAGCTCGGAGATATATCCATATGCGTGAGGGGATATCCAAGACATTATTATTGTATTAATTTTATTATAACATGTTGCATAATTCAGCACCTTTTGATATCGGCCATCTCTATTGCTAGGCGGCGTTGCTGCTAGCACGAGCCACGAGCTAGCGCAGGAGATGCCTGCAAAGAATTCTGCACCAGGTCAAGCACAGGCGATTCCCCAAGCCAACCCTCTCCCAGTATAATCAGCTGTAGCATCCACTGCAAGAAACCCCATGGTTCCGCACTTGTGTCAGAAGGTTCATTTAGCCGTGCCTCCTGGTCATGGTGAGCAAACACACCCGGTACCCACACTACACCATGGTGAGCAAACACACCCACCCACACTACACCATTGGGAAAGGTTCAGAAAGAAAAAAAGGATGCGGAGGGCAAGTGCTTGTGTGGGGTCCTCGACCAAGTGCAAGACAAAACGAGGCAATGCGTGCATGTCATTAGAATTCGCAGGAGGCACGGAGTCCGGCAAGGCACCGGTCCGTCTTGTGCGATGTCCGCTCATAACCGAAGTGAATAATTCCGAAACAGTGGAAGGTGCTGACAGCACGGAACACTTATGCATTATGGGTTTACAGATTCTATCTTCATAGCGATGTCTCTGCTAAGATTACTCGTGACCGTACTGACAAGTCGTGCTTGGCGACACCGCAATTTAGTTAGTATGCACTTTTCCAGGACATCGCCACTAGCACTGATACAGGGGCTTGAAAGCAGATTTCGGACTAACCTTGCGTCCTTCTTTCTTCCTGTGCAGGTCCGAAACGGTGCGAACAACTCACTGCCCACCGCTTCCTCGTTGGACGATAGCAGTAACTACATAAACTTACTGAGTTGTTTCGAAATGTTCTACTTCTAGCATCTTCATCCTCGATCCTAACGACTGGGCATGGAATAGGTCACAGAGGATTTTTTTCTCTGTTTGCAGTGCAGTGGTTCAGATCTACGCGGTGCACGGGCTTTGCATGCTCCAAGCTGTCGACTTGCCGTGACATCGATCTTGCCACCGACACGAGCGTGAACCATCATATCATCGCGATCCGTACCCAGGCACTGGTCGTGCAAGTGCCGGTGGCAGCGCAGTACAAGCACGCAGCATGCAAGCACCAAGCACCAGGTTGATCCTGAATCTGGAGTCCTGGACTGGAGATGTCGCTGCCCAGAACAGAGATGTAATTGTTGTTGTGGTACTTGTTGCGAGTCATGACGTAATTACAAAGAGCTGCAAAATGGCGCTGTCATGATGAAGACTGTGGAGTCATCTTGTTGTCTGACCACTCCAGTCTCCAGTCTGCCCAGACCTACTGAGTACTGTACATGACATTGTAGTACATAATTGTATGCCATGCACCAGCCTAATGATCATACACACCCAACTCGGAAATACTTCCTCAGTAGTCAGTACGCATGCCATGGTACCTGGAGCCACAAACCGTCAAAAGACAGTAAAAACCTACATCGAACGACAGTACAAAGTCATGTACAAGCCTAAAACTTAATAATAATAATAATTCGCGGGATTCGCGTTGGCATCGCTTGAATGTTCAGAAACACACAAACTAGCCTTCGCTTCCGCAGGCCACCACTATGCCTATGCCTTGCACACCTTAGTGGCGAATGCAGACCTCACAAGTGAGTCAGGGGAGAGTAGGTGAGTCTCTCAACCAATCGGGCGTGTAACGGCCCATAACCCTGTAAACTGCATCCTTGTTACCCTCACTCCGAGCTGTGAGTACCCAGTTGACCGTGGGTGTCGGCGCAGTTCACCACACATAAAAAGTCTTTACTCACGTAAAAAGTCTTTACACGCTCCCTGCTACCAGCGCGGGTCTCGAACTCGGGACCTCATGATTCGCAGGCAAGCCTGCAAACCAATCGGCCATATGCGTTGGTCTTAAAACTTGTACTATTTAAAAAGTCAGCGTAGGCGATGAATCTTCAGCATCATATTCATAGGCGTGGTGTAGTGTATACCACTTATGATGTGCCATTAGTGTTTATCATGAAAACTCAAAGTGCAGTACATACCGCCATACTATAGTAGCAGCTGCTGCTCTACAAGCAAACAGAATACTGGCCTGACACAGTCAAGATTATGAATGTGAACAAGGCAACGTGCACATGATGCATTAGTTAATGTCAGTGAGAATTGTTACTACAGGTATTTGCTGTGGCAGTTTGATCATCGACATGCCAAAGCCTTGAAAGAAGAGGGAATGTTTACAGACGGTTGCCAACACAGGCTGATTGGGCCTACCTCACGATTGAACCGTGTTTCCAGTATGTAATGCATGATCAAAACAATCTGTGGGGCTAGCTGCCAGCAGAGGATAACATACGTACGGTGACTTAGAATTAGTAAAGCGTGAGAGCAGGCAATGATGGGCCACATGTACGTATGTACCGGAAGGTAAGTGTGCGTGCAGTGCGGGTATGCATAGAAAGCTTGAGAGAACCAGTTAAAAAAAACGGGCAATCATTTCTCGTGCACACTGCCCGCTTCCGGCTTGGATTCCAGTCAGAGTATGATGCTAAGCACAGTGGTCTAGGGCACGATCGATTCGTGACAGTGGCATGACTGCAACACACCGTCTCATTCGACCATCGGGGTGTACTTGACAAATTCGTCGCTCTCCAAGAGATTTTGATCATTGAGCTGGCACTGTGCATGGCATGCAAGCTGCTTGAATGATGGCCTCTTCGCGTGCTCGATACTCCAGCATTTGCACATCATCTCGTACCTACAGGATAGTACAGTACATGACAGTGCAAAGATGTTTGTTTTTCTCTCCTGTTTTCAAATGGCCGCGTAACAGCTTTGGCCTCTTCCCTACCAGTGACACTGCTATGCCAGCAGCTCGGACTCTGGAACAGGGAATGTATTTGATTGCACGGGATCAGTGAGTCTTGATTGATTTACGGGGTATCTGGGGCAAAGAATGGTACGGTCAATACCGTAGTGACTGTACCGTGTCCGACGTCCCTGTTCACACACACACACACACACACGCACACACACACACACACACACACACACACACACACACACACACACACCTTGGACCTTGGACCTTGGACGCGCTGCCATATTCTGGCTATGCGGACCCCATGGGGGGTTGAGCAGGTTCGGAACAGTAGGGGCGATGACGGGATAGGTCCTGTGGTCTACTGAAACGCCGACCGCAATTGCAAACGATGCAGAAGGAGCTACGGTCTGTGTTGGTTGCTCTGGCCGAGCCACGGCTGCACTTGTGACGTTTCATGCCTTGGCGCGATAGCACACAGCGGTTGCAGCGGGCGCAGTGGAAGCTGCAGCGTTCGCAGGACATATTGTTTGTAACCGGTGACTCAAGTGTGTCAGAAGATGCCTCTGCTGGTGATGTTGCTGGCGAGCACTTGTGTCGGGCAAATCCACCCTTGCTCCGGAACCATCTGTCGCACTGATCGCAGTGACACACACACACACACACACACACCTTGGACCTTGGACACGCTGCCATATTCTCAGGCTATGCGAACCCCAAGGGGGGGGGGGGGGGGGAGAGCAGGTTCGGAACATTAGGGGTGATGACACACACACACACACGGCACACACGCACAGTCCCACGATTGGCTTACAGGTCCTGTGAGTAAACGGGTGGACGCTGCAAGCGATGTCCAAGAGCCAGGTGATGTCCTAGCGACGATGATGGTACACCTTGATACGGTACAGCCCCTAATGTATCCAAGTGGCAACAGCAATCAACATCAAATCAAGTTCAGCGTTTTACACTGTCAAGTTGGCCTTTTGTTACTACACAACTTAATGACAAGAGGTTTACCCGTTGTATACTGAGCATCAGCACTGCTGTGGAAAGGTCTACTATCCTCAGCTGACCTACAGTGTTGGCTTCATGGGAATAATGGACGCTCAAAGGTGCATTGTAGTTTTCAGGGATGTCAAGGATAGGAAAAGCTTGCCAGCGGAGACACCGAGGTGCTGTAGGGCTCTAACGACAGTTGTACCAGGTGGCCATGGGAGGTGACTCGGTTACTACTATACTAGTACGTGTCAACGCTAAACCCCTGGATGTATACGGTAATTCCTGTTGGGTACAGACAAATTAATAAAACACCTCGGCTCATGGCACTTGGTCTATTTGAAGGTAATGGACGCATGCCTAGAACAATAAACATGTAGCTACTTTGAAATAGGTGACACCTACCTAGAGTAGAGATTTCCCAGAGCAAGACACCGAATGACCATCTGCAAAAGCATAATAAAGAACGATCGAGCGTGATACAAGTTGTACTGCAGGCTCATAGCAGCAGCTGGCAGTCTGGCTGGTCAGATAATGCCTGGACTATGTTTCTTCCAGTATCAACTGTTTTCATCCCAGTGAAGGAGCAAAAGAGTGCATAGAGGTACCAACATCATTCGGCTACAGCCTGCAGATACATGTTGACCGAGGATCTGAACTTTTACCTTGTCCCGTGACCTCAGAGTTCCACGTGAGTCTGAATCCCCTAGTACTGTAAGACATGTATATATAACGAGGAAGCAAATCTAACGTTTTAACGGATGACATTTCTTCGTTATAATAAGATCCGTTGAGGCCGTACTGCTTCATATATGCTGTATGTGGATATGGCAGAATACTGCAAGATCGTTAACATTATCTTCTCGTTAACCTATGAATTTCGGACAATCGTTAAATTTGCGACTCGTTATAATAACATGTCTTACAGTATATTAAGGCCCGGGCTGCATTGCCTACTTCATCTCTGGACGGCTAGGTGGTTTTTCTTCAAGGGCTGGTACGTGCCTGCACAGGCTAGTGCTCAGCTGAACTGTATGCACAGCATTGATGTGTTCCGGCTTGCAAACAGTTAGATAGCTTAGGAATCTGGAGCGGTTTGACAGTGAGGTAAACTTACACGCGCCTGACTGTCTAGCTACTGTTGAGCAGGTACACCGGGTAATGCTTACAAGATACCTTAGTGATAATATTCTACTTCAAAGTAGAAAATTGAAACCCGGTTGCGCCGGTATGTGATTGCTATTGAGTTTGAATGCAGGTCGGATTATAACATTGCCTTAAGTCTGCGACATTGAAAGCTCACAATTTGGCATTCCTTACATTGAAGATACATGCTGTCAGCCAGCATTACCCATTTTTAGATTTTTAACAGTACTACTGGTAACGTTAGGAGCACTTACACGTCACTCTTCAGATAGTAGACACGCTGTAGAAGAGATTCCGGCGGATGCCACTTGGCCGGTATGCTTCGTTCTCCGTACACGACCTCATAGCAACTTCCAGGGCGGCACAGCTGACGAGCGAGACCAAAGTCGGCCACTTTCAAGCGATACTGTTCGTCAATGAGTATGTTGCGAGCGGCAAGATCTCGGTGCACACACTGAAAGAAGAGTAGGATAGTACAAGTGAACGATGCATCTCTTCTAGCCTCACAATTCATGTCCCGACCCGTTTGTAGGCACTTGCTCTGGCTACACTCTTGGCACAACTGATTGCACAGTACACAGCACCCAGTAACCAATCTAGTGCCAGTAGCCGTAACAGTGCCAGTAGCCGTAACAGTGCCAGTACCCGTAACAGTGCCAGTACCCGTAACAGTGCCAGTACCCGTAACAGTGCCAGTACCCGTAACAGTGCCAGTACCCGTAACAGTGCCAGTACCCGTAACAGTGCCAGTACCCGTAACAGTGCCAGTACCCGTAACAGTGCCAGTACCCGTAACAGTGCCAGTACCCGTAACAGTGCCAGTACCCGTAACAGTGCCAGTACCCGTAACAGTGCCAGTACCCGTAACAGTGCCAGTACCCGTAACAGTGCCAGTACCCGTAACAGTGCCAGTACCCGTAACAGTGCCATTACCCGTAACAGTGCCAGTACCCGTAACAGTGCCAGTACCCGTAACAGTGCCAGTACCCGTAACAGTGCCAGTACCCGTAACAGTGCCAGTACCCGTAACAGTGCCAGTACCCGTAACAGTGCCAGTACCCGTAACAGTGCCAGTACCCGTAACAGTGCCAGTACCCGTAACAGTGCCAGTACCCGTAACAGTGCCAGTACCCGTAACAGTGCCAGTACCCGTAACAGTGCCAGTACCCGTAACAGTGCCAGTACCCGTAACAGTGCCAGTACCCGTAACAGCTAGTCAAGAAAGTAGTTGATCAGGTAAAAGTTAGGCACAGTCACAGAGCTTGCGGCAACGGAATATAGACCGAGGTACGTGTCCCAAACTACGTCCTAGATTTCCTTTCTCTTGTTTCTCATGATAGGTATGCTAGCTGGGAATGAACAAGTATTAAAATTCGGTAAAATATAATAACAATGTTCAAGTCTCAGGCGCAAGAGAGTCATTCAGATTGACCTTTCCTAATCCACAGAATACGAACAGCTCAAGAAAAAGTTAACTCGGATGCAGCTCCCGAGAGGGTGGGAGGTCAGTAGACCAGACCCACCACACTCGATCTCTAGCTACCAGCAATCTGGAATCATAGTGCCCGTACCTGAAGTGATGCCAGGTATTCCATTGCCTGGGCAATCTGCAAGGCGTATCTGTAAATATCATATTCTCTTAGGTGGGCACTGCTGCTCTCATTGATAATGCTGCTCGTGTGCTCAAGCTCAGGAGGCGAAGATAAGCTGATATTGCCAGTATCATCACTTCGTATGTGATGAGAGAAAAAGAAAGAAAAGAGTGCGTGGAACACACGCACAGGCACACGCACGCATGCACACACACACACATGCACACACACACACACACACACACACACACACGCATACACGAGCGCACACACACACGCACAGACGCACACACGCACACCTTCAACTTTTTGACACCAATTGCTGGAGGCGATGATAGTGATGCTACAGCAGAAGCCATAGCAATAGGCCTTATGCACGTTGTACAGATGCACGAAATCTTGTAGAATCTCGCAGAATCCCGTAGACCCGGTTGGGTGTTGAATGTGCAGAACCCTATTGTGTTTTCTGCTATTTCCACTAAGAAATGGGCTCTGACGGCATTTCATACGAAAACTCTTTTTCTGACTCAGATCTACTAGTTTTTAGTTCTAACCAAAGTGAAAAGCTGGAAAAGCGATTGTTTGCCAGTAATTAATTATGAGGCTGAAATCGGTCAAATGTGCATGCATAGCACACAATGAACACCCAACCGGGTCTGTGCACACCTACGGTCCTAGTACAGAACTTCGTACATGTGTACAACGTGCATAAGGTCTACTATTTATGCTGAGATTGCACGATTCAACAGCTTGCAAGGCTGAAGAACTGACCACCACTATTCAGCCTGGTCTACACCGCACAACTATTTGAAGTGTTTTTTTTCTCACTTTTACTTAATTTTTTTCTGGACAGCGAATCCCTACTTTTTGGGGGGGGGGGGGGTGTCCTTTTTCCCTGCACACACATCATACCACATACTCCGACATGCACTGGTTGTTGGTAACCACCAAGGAGAATGAAAGAAAGGTCAGGAGGATACTGAGAAAGAGAAGAAAGACGTGTGTGACCATAATCGTCAGGAATCGAACCCGCAACCTCTCGATTGGAAAATTGACTGCACATACCACTGCACCATATGGGACACAACAAAGTGCTGGGTGCTACGATATGTTAATAGATGACTGCAGTGTAGTCTGTACACCCTGAACGCATATTCAAAACTCGGAGAAAGTGGTTCTACAGTGCATATCCATCCCTCTTACCATGTAAACTTGTCAATGGCTCCTGGTGATGGACAGTTTTCAGGGATTGGCTTCTCATCCAGTACAGGAGTTGGAGGGAACGTTTGTGTGCTGCTGCTGCTGGAGTAGAAATAGGACTCGCCATCCAAAGCCCAGGAAGATCCACTCGTGGTGCAGCTGGCCTTGTCTTCTTCTTGCATCCTTTGCCTACGGCGCAACAGGAACCCTTTAAGACTGCCATGATGTGCATACTTCAGTACAACAGTGCCTTGACCTGATGCCGCCGGGTATGTACATAACAAAACACGAGTCACAGCAATGACTTACATCACTATCCGGGCCATAGGCATTATATGATCCAACACATTCGTGAAACACAGCGGGTATGTACATCCTCAAAGACAAGAACCATGGCGGCACGGCTACAACTCAGGAATAACAGTACAAGTACATGCAATGATGCATTGTGATGTGAAGTGGGGATTGTATGAGGAGCGGCGAGCACCTTTTTTCTTTGCTACACTGTTATATCGAAGCTCGAAGCTCCGATATGCAATCAATTGCTGTTCCGGCGCATGATTTGCCAAACTGTAAATCGAGTGTTACCTGCATTAAAGATGATAGCACCTACCATCGAGCACGGAAACGCCTAGGAAGTCAACTATGTGCGGATGCTGTTGTTTAGCACACAGCTTCAATATGGCAGTCTCTTGCAGAAGATCAGATTGGCTTGTCGGGTTCTTGGTGTCTGATTCGGAATAGGAGAGAGAGAGTGAAAGAGAAAGAGAGCAGGTGAGGGAGAGAGAGAGAGAGTGTGTGTGAGAGAGAGAGAGAGAGAGAGAGAGAGAGAGAGAGAGAGCCATGGAAGGGTCGGTGATTATGTGTGGCCAGCTGCATGATGTGAATATTTCAGTCTGTTCAGTGGCATGTCATTCGAAATGCCACTGAACAGACTGAAATATTCCAGTGCAGTAATAGCAAGAAGAAAAGAGTTGCTGACACCAACATAGGACCTTCCAACTGTTGATACATTTTGTGTTTCAAACATCTGGCTCCTGCCACCTCATATCTCGTTAAACAAAACAACAACAAAAAGCGGCTATTGAAGTCTTACCTTTAGCCTTTTTCAGAGCAACTATAGTGGTTGCCCGACACTGTTCAGTGCTCGACTGACAGTGTGCAAGCATAACTTCGCCAAACTCCCCGCAGGACAGTGGCTCTATGCAAGACAGATGCTGTGAGGGTATGTGCCAGTCAGCATCCAGGAATGCTGCCAGATCGCCATTGGCTCCCACTGGATGGAATGGCGCTGGCTTAGTGTGCTCTTCTACACATGATATGTCAGTTGCACTGTGTGACTTGTGGAACACGCCTTTTGAAGTGATGCTCTGTTGCTTTCTCCTCTGGAATGCCGCATACATAGCCAGCGCTATGAAGCAGCCGATGGCCCCGAGGACGCAGATCAAGATAATCAGCACTTGACTTGAGGAGCTGTGAAGTTCAGAAGGTGTCACGGACGGTGAAGCAGGTCTTGAGACATGCGTGTCCTTTCCCTGCGTGGCTGCTACATGACACAACGAGACAGCATATCAAGGCAGCATATCACAGCAAGAGAAAAATCGAAATTCCGCCATGTTAAACCATTACTGAAAGAAAATGCCGATAATAGCTTGCAAAAAGAATGATTGAGCAGTGAGCACTGATGTGACGGCCACCTTCGCATGCGTGCATATAGTAGAATATGCCCCCCCCCCCCCCCCTGGTGGGACACTCTCTATGCTGTGGACATCAACATACATGTCATGTTACACTCAACCCACTCTCTCTCTCTTATCTGGGCTTGTTAGGACTATATCCCGTACTACTCACTGGTCCAAGAAAGGTGCCCGGTAGCGGAGGTGATCAGATTAGGACGGGCCAGATTGGGAAGGACCGGATTAGGGAGGGCTGCATTAGGGAGGGTTGAGTAAAATCCAACTGCAGTATTGGCAAGTGAAATCAGACCTCATGAACACAGAATAGCTGAGCTGCGTTCACTGCACAACCCAGTGTCCGTGGTGTTGGGACATGTAGCGCCATCGCATTGCTGTATTCAAGAGGCTGCATTTCACTTGCCATCACTGTAGAACATTTATTCAGATATAATTATTATGTACGTGCATGTACGTGTAATGGCAAAGAAGGACTTACTTGTTTCATTGCTGTGTGAGAGGCGTATGTACGTGTGTGACATGCCAAAAATACACATAAACTGCACTTCAAGGCGAAGTAAACAAAACATACATGGTTTAAAGGTGTGAGGAAAAACATGTTTTTTTATCCCAAAAATTGATGCTTACCATCAGAGAGGAGTGTGCCAGCTGTATCATTCCCATTATCATTCCCATTAGTCTCAGTATCGTCAGGCCATGGTGACACTGGGTCACATGAGTTGATGCTATCTGCCTCTACCAGAATAATAACCATAAAATTAATAATATGAATGGCAAATGAGCCTCCTTACAAAAGCAGCCGACTTGCCCATTCACCAGTCTCACATGGCATGTCAATAGGAGTGCAGTAACCTTTATTATCAGTATACCTTACTCCCCCCCCCCCTCCTCTCTCTCCCTCTCTCTCCATCCAAGAGATGCACACATCTGTCCTTTACAACCGAAATACATGCACTGTACATGTATATCCAAGATCTAATGACTGCTATAATACCATAATCTCTAAGGTCCTCGCAGAAAGTGCTATACATGTGTTTCTGTCCTTCTGATACAGTCAGACCTCGCTTATCCGGTCCTCTTTAATCCGGATCCCTCGCCATCTGGAAGAAAATCGTTGGTTACCGATTTACAGCATAATGATGTCATGCATACATACCGTTTGTGTGTTCTATTATCCGGTTCCCTCGCCTATCCGGATATTTTGTGGGAAACGGATGCGTGCGGTTAAGCGAGGTCTGACTGTAGTAGACACATTATTACGGGTGTTTTATACTGAGGCTTTACTGTACTGGCAACAAAAGAGTGGTGTGTTCTGATACTGTGTCTGTGGTGCAGAGACAGTGTAGTTAGAGCAGGTGCCAAGTGCCTATGTCAGGTGATAGTCAAGCATGAATATGATTTAATACTAGAACAAGAAACACAAATTACCATTCACCAACATACAAGTTACATGTACATGTATGTACAAGTACCTTTCAGAGGCAAATAGATCAGTTGAGGCTCACTCCATTGTCCAGAAAGCTTGAAAGCCACTCTCAGACTTTTCAAGTCACCGGCAGCAGTTCCGTGGACGTGCAGCCACATCGTGTACCGGTAGTGCAGCGTGTCATTATGCCGAACTAGCTCCCGGTCCGGCGTGGACACCCGTGCAGTGATGTTGTCGTCATTGAAGAGGACGAACTCTGCGGGACGTCCCGTGTACTCCAGTACAGTTGCATTCACTGACACGGATAGCGGCGGAGGCTCACAGGAGAATGTTATGTCCAATGGCAGTACAGTGGGAGCAATCTCACCGGGGTTACCTGAGGGTGGAAACAATAACACGAGACTGAACAGTGAGAATCAACCTCTTCGAGCTTCAGCCGCATTTTGGAGCATCAGCCTTTTCGCCAAACATTCACCGAGTCCATGCAACAGTATCATAATTAATATAAACCTCTTCAGGTCAATTCAGCAAGCATCAACCCCTTCAGCTTTTAATTACTTTTTGATCCTACATGTAAAATGAGAGAGAGAGAGAGAGAGAGAGAGAGAAAATCGAGCTAACATACTCCTAGCTCATTGTACAGTGGGTATGGGTATGTAGTGGACCACGGCACCCAGGGTTTAGGTGTGCCGCAGTAGATCATTGCATTGTTCGGCTAACTACGAGAGAGCTTGGAAGCTCAGGGCCCTACGCTATGCTTTTTTGCCTAGCTCATCATGCATGTTATTAGAACTGATGGAAATGTTTTTCCATTAATTGGCTACATCATTGTATTGCAAAAACGTTTCAATCAGTTTGAATATGAGTTTGGCAAAAGTAACTGCAGAATTTATTGGGGAATGTTATTTTCTCCCACTTCATCCACTTTTGGTTTGCTCCTTCTTTTCCTTTTGATCTCCTTATGATCGGATTTTCTGGCCTTTTCGTAGTAATACATTGACCTGTTGAGCCAATGAGGTAAAATTATAATCCATACAATACGCTATAATACGCTACAATACAATAATACAATAATTTCCTTGCCTTGATAGAGTGCTTGTGCTTAACTGTTGCTGACGGCCGGATTCATGGTTGCCTGTGGAGCACATTACATCACTTTACAGTCTCCTATAATACGCATCCTGTCCGACGGCAAAAGAGGCTGCGGATTTAGTTTTTCTGCACGTTATCAGCAATGACTACTGATCTTCAGCACCTTGGGTCTCCTATAATACGCATCCTGTCTATGCTTTGTAATGCTAACATGATGCTCGGGATAGCACTCGCTACTGATCTTCAGAAACTTGACCTGACTCTCACTCACAATAAGACTGTTGTAATGTTCATCGTTCCCAAGCAGTCGCTGGTTTCTCCCACGATTTCATCGTACTGTTGTACGACATGCTATACAGCATCCTTATACCGTACAACACCGTATTGATGTCTGGCTGTCTGGCTGTCTGTCTTTGATGGTATGGTACGGGACAGGTACGGGATAGCGCCAGGCATGCCGATGGCACAAACAAACAAACAAACACGGAATTAAAGCTGTGTGGACCCTGGCTAGCGCCAGACGTTACTGAAGTAACGTCTTTTGCATAGCTACGGGAATAACTATTACTTACGGACAACAGTAATCTCTGTTGGATTCGATGTGAAGGTTTGACCATTAGCATCTTTGATGGAGCATGATATTATCCCACTATCTTCAATAGCCGGAACGGACAGTTCTGCCCTTGTACGGATCGTGCCGGCAACACCATTGCCATCCAGGGTGGAGACGGTCCACATAGTAGATAAGGCACTGCTATTAAATGTGTGAGTGTTGTGTAGCCACTGCACTGCGTGCTGGCCGTAGGTTACAGGTGAGTAACAGTTGACAGGTGTAAGGCTGTCTCTGCTGTTGACCATGGCACCAATGTCATGCTGCGGGCAGAGAAACACTGTTCTGATAGGACCTGCAAAGAGATGGCAATGAGAGGTAAGAGTAGGCATTAACAGCATCAAGGACAACATAATCATCGTGCAACTGCAGTAAAGCCTGGTTTAAGCGACCACCCCACGGTGCAAGCAAAAGCGGTCGTTAGAACCAGGCGGTCTTTAGAACCAGGTCCCACAGTAGCTGTGTAGAACTGCCGGTGCATGGAAAGACGGTCGTTAAGAGCAGGTGGTCGCTAAACCCAGAGGTCGCTTACACCAGGTTTTACTGTAGTATGTGAAAGGTCCTCTGGAGCAACACTAATAAACCTCAGATGGAGAGCCAAGGTTTAATTTATACAAAAGAGAAAGACCAAGGAACTACAAGTTACGCTATACTGTCCACTAACACCACCAGCTACTAAACAATCAGCTCATGCGATAACATTGCACGACACTGACAAGATGTGCTAGAGCTGTTAGCCAGTTAGTTGTAGAACGTCAGTACCGTCGGTCAGTGTCGTGCAATGTTATCGCACGAGCTGATTGTTTAGTAACTGCTGGTGTTAGTGGACAGTATAGTGTAACTTGTAGTTCCTTGGTCTTTCTCTTTTGTATAAACTAACAAACCCGTTCAAGCACAGGTACATCATCATAATGCACACAGGCTGTGACTTGGCGCCGCCTTTGTTACCTAGAATGTATTGCACAACTGTATGTATGTCTCAAGGATGTCTACCTGAATACAGTACTGTTGATTTGATGCGCATGGCCCGAGGACTTCCGGCGTGACCAGTGTGAACCGTACAGGTCAATTTCAGCGGCGCACGGGCACCCGGGGGTGGACACGGTGTCGCAATCTTATGGCCCTGGCCAAACAGGTTGACCCGAAGTATATCCACGGACAGCTCTTTTCTAATGCCGATCAGTGGATCTGCCCTTTTGAACATCGGGAAGGTAGTTGTGATGGTTGTAAGCGAATAGTTGAGTTCCCATCGGTTGAGCTCATGCAGTGTTTTAGCTGACCAGCTCAGGGTTGACCCCCCTGGCCTGTTCCTAACGGACCAGCACGGTAGTACTATGTCTTCCAGATCAGTTTCCAGATTGACAGTGTTCCTCCGGTGTGCACCACTACTGTGAGCGTCTGAACAAAAGCAACAGCAGCAACAACAGCAGCCGCAACAGCAGCAGCAGCAAGCAGAAGCAACAACAGCATTTAATAGAAGCAACAACAAAGCATGTTCAGCTCATGTCCTGCCACACTTACTCACCAATACATACTTAGTTACATACTCGTATCCCCCCGAATGCACTTAGTATAAATTATGTAGGCTGTTACTTGTTAGTTTATAACGGTAGAGTGTTTCCCCTGCTGTGGAGTACACATGGCGCGTATGAATGTGAGTTGTTGTTCTGCAGAAGATTTGATGGGAAGATTGAATGATGCACCAGAAATTTCCGCATATCAAAAGCCACGTTCCAATTAGGAACCTACCGGCAAATGACGGGTTCAACAGGAAGATCTTAAGTTGCATGGCCGTGCTGTTACGTTGCCTGACACTAATCCAGCAGTGCATGTAACGGTTATCCAGCAGTTCAGACGTCGTAACCTGCACTGCACTCTGGACAAGGACACCACCGCCACACCAGGAAATATCACCGGCAATTTGTGTTGTTGTTGTTGTTTTAGCTGTCCAGGATTCAGTCGACGATTCACCTCCAGACCAATCGATCACCGTGCCACTGTCTGTCAAATTGCCCGTGGAATCTCCTCCGCCCAAGCATGCTTCACAAACTAGATCATGGGTTTCCTTCAGCGAGGAGGGTGAAATTATTGTCACGGCTTCCGCTGGCCTTGTTGTCCACTCGGTATCATGTTCCGGTGACAGTTCTGTGGCAAACAGGGGGGATTTACATTCATCATGCGTTGCACTGGTTCATACCTACTAAGAACTGACATGATCCCGAGATAAGATTTCATCAATCAGCTAGCGGTGTGCAAGACCAAGACTATGGAACATGCAGAGCAAATTATCCTGTTCTTATCAGGGACTCCCTAAAACTCTCCTCCTCCAGGGGCTCCCTGGTTCTAAAAACTAAAACACGTACATGTAGCCTGGCACTGCATTGGAGGTTGAGGCGAGAAGGTGAAAGCATGACATCCTCGGTCTCTCCTGTTTTTTTCTTCTTTCTTTTCCCTGCTGCCGTGCTCATAATTATTAGTCATCTAACTTATTCGAAACTCGGGTATTGAGCCAATAATAAATGTAGAAAAGAAAAAGGACATGATTATGGAAACTCGTTTCCATATGTCTTTTCTTTTCTACATCTAACTTATCTTCTTCTTTGTTCTTTTTGTCCGCATGTTTTTATATTTTTTTCTTTTCTCTTATTATCAGTGGGACCATTGTCATTAGGTTTAGGCCTGTTTTGGAACTCCACTCTAAATAAATCCAAACAACAACAACAACAACCCCTGCAGTGTCAGCATGGTGGTATTGGGGCTTTCCCCCAACCTTCGTCTATGGGTGCACAGTATCATCGCGGCCTCATCTTGTGAGGTCACCAGTTCTGTGACTCAGTAGTATGTAGTCACACCCCACCCTCACACAACTTGGGCCAAGGACCTGGGTGCAGATGCTATCAGTGACGTTCAGACCAACAAGATCAAGGTGAGGGCTCTGGCGTCGGTCCACGCCGAGGCACTTGTTCTCCAGTAGCGTAGCTCCGGCAATGTAACCATGGTAACCGTTGATATGGATACTGGATACCTTTGGCCGACCAAGAATTTGAGGTCTTTGATGTAGATAATCATCATCATCACAAGCCCATAGCCCTAAGGCCGTCGGGCGTCACAGAGCAAGTATGAACAAGCGAGCGCCATAAAAATCGATCGCGTGCAGCAGCGAGCAGGGACTGCACATCAAGTGCAGTCCATGAAATAATATTATCAAGCCATGACATTCTGGGCCTGCATCGGCCACGACCTCCAGCAACACAACCCTGAAGAACAGTCAATGACCGGAACGAACAATATGACCAAAAAAATTATTTCCTTTTACGAACAGAAACAATAAGTGGGACTTGTTTGTGAATACTATTAAATTTTATTTCCTCTCTTAGTAACAGACACATTCGTCCGGTGATCAGTGAACGGAATCCTGAGAAGGCGTCCATAGCTTCTCATTTCGAAAGCCTCGATCTTTTTCACAATTTCAGCAGTTAAGGTCCAAGACTGGCAAGCATAAAGGAATATGGATAAAACAATAGCATTGAGTAGACATAATTTCGAGCCGATACTGATGTTTCTATCCCTCCAGATTGTTACTAGTCGTGCAACAGCAGCCGAGGCTGCTGCGATCCGACTCCTCACTTCTTTGATTGAACGCTGATCATCAGTAATCGTGCTACTCAGATATTTAAACTCGTCAACCTGCTCGAGCTTCTTCCCGTCGATGGCTATGCTTGCGGACAGACCTTTGCTTGCTCCCGTTACCAGCAGCTTACTCTTCTCAGTGCTTCTCAGTGCTTCTCACTGTGCTGATTTCCATGCCGCCGTATGATGATGATGTAGATAGCACATGTTTATTCCATTACACCTGTTGTAGTCTTCGGGGTGCTGAGTCGAATGGTCTTGGTCCGAGGAAGCTGAAACGCTCCCTTCCTCCTTTATTCCCAATCGAATTCACCACTTCCACCGAAACTGGGTGACTGCGCCCTATTAGATGGGGATGTGTCACTAAAAGCGGCATTTCATTCTTATAAAATATGATGGCACGGATGAACGCGATTGGCCCATATGTTGTAGTCTTTCGGACGCGGAGTCGGCTGGTTTTGGTCCGAGAAGGTTGCAATGCAGCGTTCGGCCCTGATTCCCAACCGAACATGGTTGAGTAAGCGGTCATGTGCTCGTGCATACACCAGTCACCTGGTCACCGTGCCTGAAACTTGATATGTGGCAGTTGCAATATATCCAGAAGCGGGTAATGGATAGCAAAAGTTAGTAAATTGTTGATACTGATTCAGAGTGGTTCGAGCGGCTGGTGTTCACACAAGATTTGGGAAAATGATGTGCTGTGGGTACTGACTAGAAATTATAGCAGACCTAGTTGATGGCCAAAGTAAATAATAGTTGTTGCTCTCACCTTCAAACAATGTGTGGGCCAATCAAAATCCAGCGTTCCCCACTCTTGGAAAAGGCTTAGTAGGTGTAGGTGTAGTTTTCCAGCTAGCAACAACGGAGCTTTATGTGTTGTCACCTACTTTCCTCGCCAAGTAGTCCTACCGTACACATGGTACAGTGTAGGTGGTCGGAAATGGTGCTGATGTAGCTCAAACTACTTCTCCCTTGAACGAGGCGAAACTGGCAACTAAGTAATAGTTACTTCAGCCACGAGCCCTACGCACCAGCCACTGTCCTTGTAGTTTTCCCTGTTTCCGGATTATCAAAATTGAAACGTCCACAACTATTACTTGAATGCCGACATCGGCAACCAGTTGCGGAAGAAGATTACCGACCGTAAGTTCAGGTCGCGCTGCAGGTGCGCGATCGCCTACACTACATTGTAGTGCAGGTTCCGGAGAATCAAGTAAATACCGGTAGTTACTTCTACAAGAGCACCGCCGTGACCGGGGCCATCCTCGAGTGACTAGTGACGACAACTCCCCCGACGTTCCAGATAATGTGAGATTGATTATGACTGAGAGTCGGAGATTCTCGGAGAGTCCACACTCTCGGGGCTGGACTGAAGCGGCGGATTCGCTGCCGGAGTCGACCATGGTCGACCTGGATCGGGCACCGAGCCACCGACACAGCCGTCCGCCTCTGCCACCCTCCCACGGCACAACTTGCCACAAGCTTGCAAGGACCCTTGACAGCCGCCTTAGGTAACTAAAATTAAACTGGTTGTCTGAAGTCTCTCACTCTCACAGTCTCAGAGTGTAGTAAACAAGTAAACAAGCCCCGCGCCGCGCTGTGCAGATGATGCTGCCATTACCATGGTTACTATGCATAATGACGCGCATGTTATGTGTGCGCGAGCACTGAACATGTTTTTGTGAAAGCAGATTGCAGATGAGATCGAGACGTCGCACGAAAAAGAGGATCAACAAAAAACATAGCTGGAAGAGAAATTTCGAAAAACGAGGAGACGCGATTGAGTGCTTTGGGCTGTGGACATCCATGCAGAGCGTGTAGTCGATCCGCCAGGCCGCATTCTATTGGACTTCCTAACGCAATGGACATTGTTTCTGCCTTGCCGACAGCTTCAGATGCACCGGTGACCTTGATCAGTTCGGTGTCAGAGTTTGTTTGGACTGGCGATTGGACCCGACTTCTAATCAACGCTTATCGCAAGCAAATTGATAGATTTGAGGATACCCAATTCAAGAAAAAGGCACTTTGGCTAGCCATCCACAAAGACCTTGTTGATACGAAACCAGGTGTAGTGCACCCTACCGTGGCACAAGTTGAGAATAAATGGAAAACTCTTGTGTCGGGCTACAGACGTGCCCTGGAGCACAACAGCGTGGAAGGAAATCCGAGAAGGGAATGCTCATTCCATACTGAATTGGACGAAATTCTCGCCAACAAAATCTCTGCGACTCTCAAATCAACTCCGGTTAAGGCAGCGGCGGCTGTGTCTCAAATGGATGATAGTGGCACAATACTTGAGGACTTCCATGTTGGTGGTGGTGATGATGATGATGATGTGCAAGCGCTGCCTACACCCGTAGCGACCAAGAGAAAGAGCTCCGCAGGGGGTGGCTCCAAAGAAAAAAGATCCAAGGCGAATGATAATGATACTGGTGATGAAAGTGAAGCACTGCAGTCTTTGCGAAAAACCATAGAGAGTAGCCGTGAACAAAGCAGAAAAGATGCACAATTGCGTCACCGGGACAAAATGGACAAAGTAGACCGGCTTCTGGGCATCATGGACCGCCTTGTCGACAAGCTATGAACAGTGTGTGAGTAGAAAGGCTGACGAATACTCGGAAACGGTTATGCTGCGTTGGACAGAAGCATCCTGCACCGGCATCCTTCTTGTCATCCCTGGACCAGGGTGTGATGATGAACATGTACTTGGTGTGCGTGTGTACTTCTTTGTTTTTTTAGTTCATTTAGGTAAAGAACATTCGAACCATCGCATACATGTAACAGATTTGAGTTTCGTCTTGATGTGTGTTTTGGTAGGCACCTTATAATTCCTTTCCTTGTTCGTTTTCTAGGATTCTTTTACAACAGACTGTACATGGGTACACGCACGTCCGTAATCTCACACTTTCAATCACCACACACCTCATCATAAAACACATTAGATCATTGTAAGTGTGTATTGTGTAGTAAATATAAAAATAGAAAGGTGTAGCAGTATCATATTAGCACCAGTGTAAACCATTAAAAAGAACCTCACGTCATTCATCGGGTTGCATTGTTGTCACGACGGCACATGTATGTTGATCTTGCTTTTTTGTTTCTTTTGTTTGTACTTCGACGTACTTGATCAGACCTATATTGCAGCTATGTAAATACGACTGCCACTAACCAGCTAAGTTCATAATTGTACTCATGGATACAAGGAGAAAAAAAGAGAAAAAAAGCTAAGCTAAGGACGTGTGACGATGTATGCTGTTCTGTATCCTACCCGTGCAAGTAGAATATTATGTGAGCTTGATATTTCTACTGGTATTGTTGAACAGTTACAACGACTCCTGGTCAGCAACGGACGAGACAACGACTTATGCCACACGTGCAGTACAATTACAGAATCAGTAGCAGTTGTGTCCAGGGATTATTAATATGGAGTGGAACTCATTTCGTGGACTCGCTGTTTCGTTTCATGGCAGACTAGCCAGGGCTACCTGTATGTTGTCTCGCTTCAACACTACTGC